TAAAACACAAAATTCATTTTTCTGATTTCTGATGACATCATCGTGCACCAGCGGGTGGGGAAAAATAAAAGTGACCAATTATATCATTTGTCAGTAGTCTCTAGAGTGATACTTTCTGTTTTAAATACAAGGAAACCCCCCTTTTGGTGTATCTTGAAGGTGGGTGGAACTTTTGAAAAACTACAACTGCTTCAGGTATAATTTTAGGGTTAGGGTTATTAATATGTTTCTCTTTTCCTTAGCTGGTGAATGCAGAAGGAAAGGCAGATAGCTAATGTTTCCGCTAAGAAGCTGAATATCTTAGCTGTATTATTGTAGTAACTGTCTTCAAATCATTTTTATAATGGAGAGAATAGATCAGACCAGGGGTCACAAGGTCTACAACACAAATGTAGCCATTTTATTTACTGTCCAAAACCACCACTGAAGCCACATGCAACCTTCTTCTGAGTGTTTATATGTAAAATAGTGGTAAATCTGAAAGAAATAGTTTCCTTTAGGTACTATTTTGCCTTACAGTGCCCTTCTTGTACTCCTCCGCTATTAATGGATTTTTAAAAATATAGTTTAGCATGAAAACTGTATCCATTTACATTATTTTTGTCCATTTACATTATTTTTTTGTTATCCACTTTGGAATTTGATCACCACTCAATGGAGAGAATGTATTCAAACACAGATACTCGAACATGGAAGCTCAATGACTCATCAGATGAGAAGCACAATAAGTTGAAGTTAGCAATGTTGCTACTTAGCTGTCTGGATACCTTACCTCCATTTTGGCTTCTTTTCTGTGGTTAAAATGGTTTAAAAAATGTCTCTGGCATTGATTTTCCACTGAATAAAGATTGTAACACTGGTTTCTTTATGATTTTGTTCAAAAACTGAGGTAAGAGGTAGGCTACTGCTAGTTTGGTTGTATTTGTTAGCATGTAGGCAGAGATGTTACAGAGGAGACTGGTCACTGGTTGAAATGTGAATGGAAAAACTCGTAATGTTCAACATGGCGTCTGTTTGCGGAGAAAGTCCTGTCTTTCAAGAAAAACAGCCAATCAAGTACGCAGCACGTAGTGCAGTAGCCAGAATGACACGGAAAAACACGGCTGCGTCCCAGTTGTGTACTACACACTAATACTATACAGTATATACTGTGTACTAATCTTAATAGTATGAGCTCAACAGGTTAGTACTCAAAATATGAATTAATTCATTCTTACTAACAGGAAGTGACAAACTGTTGCTATGACAACGCACATCATAGCAAGCTAGACTCTGAAGGCTAGCTAACAAATTAACGTGAGTTCACAAACAAGTGTCTTACAGAAGCGCTAACAAATGAAAACATTAGTAGTATCACATTCGTTTTTTTACAGAATATTTTACAAATTTGGGCTGAACTTATACACCATTTCTGGTCCCGCTACCACCGCAGCTGCTCTCACGTCGCTGTCCGCCATTTTTCCAGACGCGAGAAGCTCCTCCGTTTCCGTTTCCCATTGGATTGTGGAACAATAGTGTCCATCAGTACTATACTCAAAAATCGACTGGTTCTAAGTATGCATTGTGGATTTTTGAGTATACTCAACTTTGACACATACTGCATACTCAAACACTAGTTAGTATTAGTATTAAGTGCATAATTGGGACGCAGCGCCTGTTTCTAGTGTAGTTACTGAGCCAAACGCTACAAACCATTTATAAGGTTTTTGTCAGATTTTACCAGTGATTTCAAATGGTTTTGAAACAATATTTTGACCTTCAGTTTCGAGGTTTTTTCATCTGTCCCTGTTGAAAGAGATCAGAGCCTGGTCTTGTATGGCTGGAAAAACTGCTCAGCAGCGTTGCAAAAATGGCCGCTGAGTGAACGGACCAGGCTAGCGGTCAGGATTGGTTGGTCGTATGATGTTTTTCTGGGAATCCTCTCAAACCAATGAGGCTGAGGGATTATAATATAAAAACTCTAGAGATTTTTCTCATGTTTTTAGTGAAAAATCTGCCTTCTTTTGCTCACTTTTACCAAAGGTGCCGATGATTTTTCAGGGCACTACTGTGTGCAGTGCATGCTAATTGAGCTCTGCCGTTAAACGGATCTCTTTTCATTGAGAGTTATGTAACATGCAGCCTTTAAAATCACAGGATAGAGAGTAAAGTGTGCCAAACAGAGACAATGCACTCACTCTCTGCTGTCAGCTCCAGTGTAAATTTATCACCGAACACATGGTGCTCTGCTTTGAAACTCAAAGCAGGGGTCGCTCTCTCCAGGGACAAACAGTGTATTCGAAATATGTGACGTTGAGATGAAGAGAAAGAACTGGCCAATGCCAAAAGGAGGTGTGCGAACAGTCAATGCCCTACTTTGACGAAAATAGCACATCAGTGGAAGTCGCTTGAAGAACACTCGCTGGACGGTGTGGAATTTGATTATGTAATTCTAAGCAAGGCGGGTTAAAGTTTGAGTCATTCAGATGTCTTAAAGCTGATGTTCTGCCATATATTGTGTTTATCTGTGTGCATGTATTGGTGCCACCTAAGAACCCTAAGTTTTTAATTCAACAATGTGTAACAATTTAAAGACATGACAAAAACTTAACTGCAAACACTGTAAAAATATATATTTTAACTTAAACTGCTGAGTTTTTAAAAAGAGTTTCTGCATAATTCAATGGTTGACACGTAAATAAAGTCATTCAGAGTGGTTTGGTGTGAAATGGTTCATTATAGAGATTCAGATTTCTTTTTTATAGTGGTGGTGATAGGAACCAGAGGTTGTCATGTCTACAACACAAATATAGCCATTTTTTTTACTATCTAAAACCGCCAGTGAATCTATATGTGACCGTCTTGTGAGTATTTATATGTAAAATTGTGTTAAATCTAAGAAAAACTGATTTCTTTAGGTACTATTTTGCCATACAACACTCTGCTTGTACTCTTCCACTATTAATGGATTTTAAAAAATACATTTTAGGATAAAACCTGTATCCATTTACATTTTTCTGCATTTACATTATTTTTTGTTATTATCCGCCTTGGAATTTGATCACCACTTTTAAAATATGATGAATGCTTACTGTTATTCAGATTGTTTAGTCATTTTGCAATCTTCAGTGGCTCCATTCATCATTCCAGACACGTAAATTTCTTTATTTTTATTTATAGTTTCAGCAACTGGATCTATATTATTGAACACATTGATTCTAAACTGCACTTCTCTGCACAGCATGTCTTGTACTTAATGTGTAAGATCTTTATTATCCTTGATATGCAAGTATAAACAGTTAACCCATTTTCATATGACAAACATTGATCCATCTCTTCATTCCCACATGGGACATTTACAGGGCACTTTCAATATGTCCCTAACAGGGCCCGATGTGTCTACACTGCACCTGGGTGTTGGGGAGTGATTTGTGGGTTAGCTTTCTCGTAAAACAATGAAACATCGTGGGTGGGTGGCTGGGTGTACTTTGGCACGAGGTGCTTGAACAGTAGCAGCATACTGATTGGACGTCCGGCGAGTGGAACCTCACTACTAGTCCACACGGATAATGCGATTTGAAATGAAGTGTGAACCCTGAGCAGCTTTCCTTAGGAAAGGTCAGAAGCAGGATTATCTACATCACTGCAGCTCAGAGCCCCCCATGACGCATCGCTTTGTCATGTACACTCATCTCATAGGCAGCGTTTGTCCCGAAGCGAGCAATAACCATCTCATCCTTGCCTGTCTTGTCAGTTGAATAACTAATGTCAGTGGTTCAGTGCTGCCCTCTTCAATAGTCCAGCTTTGCCTAGGGCTGAAAGATTCATTGGTTTTATATCGAAATGGCAATTTGAAAGAGTGCAATTGAGCAACATGGTGATATTTCATCGTTAACGTGGTAAATTATGTCACAACGTAGTGTCAGGACTCAAAGAACACTGACTAACAACATGTTTTATTACGATCATCAATCATTAGGCCTTTTCTGAATGGCCTAAAAAAGGAGTAAAGGAACGCTCCAGTGCTTTTTAACCTATTGTCTTTGGACACAACCATTTTTCTGTTCTATTTCTAAGTGCAAACGATATGCATCAAAATTATTGTCTGTGGTAATCAGCTATACACTACAGATGGCTCTGATAGAGAACAGGTTGAAAAATGTTGGAGTATTCCCTTAAAAAGCTGTCAAACAGAAGCTCTAATTTGGGTGTGATGATAACTGGCGGTTTATTATTAGTCTGCAGACAGGCCTGAGCCGGGATTAGCTTGGCCCAGGGCCAAGTGGTGCGTCTGCGTCCTGGCTCGCACTCCCAGGGGTCCGGTCTTCACCTCTGCCAAGGTGGGCCGTTCCTTATAGGCGACATGCGAAAGGCCTCGGGGTTGCGTAAGGCCCGCTGGAACTGAAGACTCCATTCATTCAGCAGACGAGTGGGCCAGGACTTTTCACAGCTCTGAGAAGTAGCATGCTGGCTCCAGTTTTGGCCTCCTCTGCTGGATCTCCAAGCAGGGCACTGATTCAAAGCCTCTGCTGCACTTTAAAGGCTCCAAATCAAGAGGAAAAAAACTTTTTTTAAATAAAAGAGTTTGATGTACTATGTAACTGTTAAAAGTTTCTTTCACCTCCCAGTCCATCAGAAGGGGAAGTAAGCTTTGATCATGGTTGTGATGTCACAACTATGAATGCATTAACATGTGACCACCTATTCAGCCTACAGCAGTTTAGCCCCACCTATTCACAATGAAGTGATGCAGATTATCGTTACTTCATGCAATAGGCTACTGGCTGAGAAGAAAAGAGTGTGAAATTGCTGTAATCAAGTCTTACTTTTCAACAATAATAATTTAGGGCTAGTTTCCCGGACATAGACTAAGCCTAGTAGGCTAAATTGCAGTGCAAATGGTGAATCACTGTAGGAAATACGTTTTAGCCCAGGCTTAGGTTTAATCTGGCTCTGGGAAACAGGCCCACAGTGTTTAGTTAATGGCAAGTTGTATGTGAAATCCTGTTTTTCTGTTTCAGACAAACCAGTACTCGCTCCACCGTTGTTCATCTTTCAGAGGATGATGGCTCCAGGGAAGGTAAGCACTGTGAACCAACAGAAAAACACATTCCCTCAGTTTGTCTTAGTGAGGCTCAACCAACCTTCTGTATCTCTGTTCTTCAGAGGAGAGCCGAGGAAGAAGGACATGGTAAGCCTCGCTTTGGCTCCACTAAAGCTTTACTACAGGTACTGCAATTAAGTCTGTCTTACGTGGCTGCAAAGTTTTAGTTGTGGGTTCTGTCTGTTCTGTAGGAGCTGGAGTAAACAAACGCGTCAGATCCATCACCTATCCCTCCTTGCTCAGTCGGACCAGAAAAGGTGCGAGTTTAACCTCTTAAACTACAACTATTATTCAGATGTTCATCATAACCCTGCTGAAAAAGGATTAAAACCTAATAGTTTTGCTTACTAATATGAATTGGCTAAATGGTTGCCAATAGAGACCACTAATTTCCTGTGGAATACATTTAGATCCCATTAGGAAACCATCCAGTGCATTTACAATCAGCCATTGTTCATCTGTTTAACCATTAGGATCCTTTTTATTGTGATGTCTACCCATTTAAAAAGCCAAAACATATTACAAAACCCATTAGGAACTAGCAGAAACAGTGGTTTATATGGGTTTTTTCAGCAGGGAGGACTTATTCAGTCACTGCACTCTTAAAAAATTGCTTCTTGAAAGGTTTTTTAGTAAAGGGAATGATTCTATTTAGAACCATGAGTTCTATATAGAACCATTTCATGCTTAAATGGTTCTGCATGGTGAAATGGTTCCTCAGATTAGGGGTTGCAAGACTTAAGGTTTTTAAGGTCAACAGTTATTTGATGAAAGTCGATTTGATGTCGAAAAATCGCTGATGAGGTCATGAATAAAACCACAAGGGAATGCTTTGGCTCAACTTTGAATATCTGACTCCATGAGAAAGACTGGATCGTATTGCTAGACCTCAAGGAACCAGAGATACAGACCCTGGAATCTCGCTAATTTATATCCGACTTAGGCGCACCCTAGGCGGCCTTGCTGATACGCTCGCCTGCCAGAGAAATTTAGAGTGCTGTAGCTCAGCAAAATTAGAGGAACTTACTTCAAACTTATCAGGATTATAGGGCATTATGCTCCCTTGCCAATAACACTTGACTTTGTATTGCAGTCTTCGGGAAGCCAGAGTTAAGAACATTCAATATCTGATATTTGAAGCACTGTAGATCGGCGAAGACATGATAGACTGAAAGGCAAACTCCACATGTCAGTAGAACATGAAGTGCCCTTTCCTTGAACACATTACTTGCCTTCAGGAAACCCCAAAATCACCAGCCTCCTCACCTGTTGTCTTCTCTGAGGCGTCCATGTTGCTATAGAAATAATCCCGTGATCAGCGACTAGTCGACATCAAGCTTAAAGCATCGAGCAGTAAAGTTGACAGTTTGACTAGTCTGTGCAACCCCTACTTCAGATGGATGAAGAATGTGTTGTATATGGTTCTTTAACTTTTTACAATTGGTGCTATAAAGCACCAAAAAGGGTTCTGCTATTGTTAAAAGCTTGACATTGTTCTACATAGAACAGACTTGTCTATGTGGCTTGGATGCAGAAAACTGTGTAATTTAGATGCTGTCTTAAGCTTTAAGGGGGGAAATTAAACCTAGTAACAAAGAGCTTGTGAACTGCCTGTAGATGAGTTAGGCCAATCGGAGGCAACCGAACCTCCATGTGTTGTGACATCACAACCACAACTCACTGGCAGTCTGGCCTATTGCATTCAGAGTTTGAGCCTAAAGCCAGAAAATGTTGATATTCTGGTCTTCTTGGCAAAAAAATCAATTAATAAGATAATCACAATTTAAATCACCGTCGCAACATTAGCGAGACAATCGCAATTACATATTTTCCCCAAAATTGTTCAGCAGTCCTAGTTTCATCTAGTGACAAGTCTCTAGTAGTCAAAACAAGACCAATCATGTTCTTTTTGTCTCCCAACAGGCCCCTACGATGGCATTAGGCGAGTGCGATCAACTTCTCTATCCTTCCCACCACCTTTACCTGGTAAACAAGCTCTTTCTCTCTCTCTCTCTCTCTCTCTCTCTCTCTCTCATCTCAGCTCAGAAATGTAAATCCATGCCCCAGGTACTTCTACCGCTCAGTAGTTTGGAACCTGATGTACTGACAGAGGTGCAGTGCTTACGTACCTTTATTTAGGTCAAAACCTCTTACTAATCCTTTCTGGTTCAATCAGGCCGGGCCTCAAGGCCTTCAGCCCCGGCTTCTGTTTCAGAGCCTGAAGCAGCGCAGGCCTCACCTGCTGCACACAAATCACCCCACTGCCCTTTGGTCAGGCCAGCGGGGCCTGTTCATCAGGCTGTATTTTCTAAGCTTGGCACACCCCAGCAAAAGTGGGTCACGGCCGAGAAGTTTCCTCCGCTATCACTATAAACAGCAGCGCTAGCATTTTAGCTCGAAAAGCGCTTGAGATTTTTGAGCCAAAGTGAAGATTTTGCCAGATTTTTTTGTTGTTTTTCTTTTACATGAAGATACTATGTTTCTCACAGTGCAACCATAGTTTAACTGAATAGTTGTTTACATCACACTCCACCCAGTAAATTATGATACTTCACCAGTCACGAGTTTTCTTGAGGCAAACAAACTTCAGAAAAATAATGTTTTTGAGAGCAGACTTACACTGAGGGTTTTTCAAACCACTTATTTGAGGGTTTTGCCCCTTAATCGTTAAATGGAAAGTACATGAAATGTAACCATTATTTTTCCTGCTTTAATTCACAGTCTCAAGGTCGAACATGTTTATGCCTTCAAACTTGAACAACATGAACAAGGTCTCCACTACCGCAGGTTAGTATCCGTTCCCTGTGCTCATTTCGGATTACACAGATTTGCGGTACACCTTTAAAGGGGAATTCCGCTGTTTTTTCAGAATGCCTGCAGAATTTAAGCATTAAAACATACATAAAGTAATTCAGAGCGGTTTGATGTGAAATGGTTCATAGTAGAGAAACTTACCAACTCTGATTTCTTTACAGTGGTGGTGATAGGAACCAGGTGTCACAATGTCTACAACACAAATATAGCCATTTTATTTACTATCTAAAACCACCAGTGGACCTACACCTGTCTACTGAGTTTTTTTGCACAATGTTGATGATAGTAAAACAGCAATAAATCTGAAAAAAATCGTCTTGCATGTTCCCCTCCTCCATTAAAAATACATTTTAGGCCAAAATCTTCTCAAAATATGCATTGTTAATGATGGTAAAATACAGTGTGATTAAAAAAGATTTATTTCACTTGTAAATCATTACAGAACAATGCAGTAAATTGTAATTGGTTCAAATGAGCATAAAGTTCATTATGTAATTTTAACAAGTGCTCAATATGAACCTCCTCCAGCTGTACGGACAACATCAACACCATAGTCAGATTCATCCCATACTCGATTAAGCATGTTGGGTGTCACTGTACTCACGGCTCTTTCAGTGCGATTTCAGAGATCATCCAGTGTTGTGGAACCAACGACGAACGCTCTGAGCTGCTGGAGGTTCACTGCCCACGAAAATCACGTTGCACAGTTATGACGGATTCACTCTCATTGAAGTGGAGAACGCAGAACACTTTAAGCTCAGGGGTCTCCATCTCCTCGCAGATTGAAGGGATCATCTTCCAGTGACAGTCAGAAACTCTATGACCCCCTCTTTCAATTGGTATGTGATTGCTTCCTAGGCGCCTCACGATTGTAAAAATATGGCGCTTTGAAATTAATTTGAAAATTAATCTTTTTGAATGACCCTGTATATAACATGTGGAAAAATCTAAAAAAATTTGTTTTTTTGGGACTATTTTGCCTTGCAGCGCTCTGCATGTAACCCTCCGCCATGAATGGATTTTAAAAATGAATTTTAATCTTATCTCAAAGCTATCATAAAACAATGTCTCAAACATCAGGAATTGCCTGTTATACCTTTCTGTGAGGGAGCTTTTAGAGACTTTCCAGACGTCTGGTTCCTATCACCACCACTGTGAACAATTCTGACTCTGTCAGTTTCTTGCATTACATAACTTTAAAAAGTTTCTCGTGTGAAAAGCTCTTTAGGAAACCAAAACTGGTTCTTCTCTCCAAAGAACCCTTTCTGTTCAGGAGTGACTTTCACACAACATCAATGCAGAAGGTAAATGATTGAGCTCTTCCTCTTCTGCTTGCAGCGTCTCCTCAAGTTAAGGTGAAGCGGACAGTATTAAAGCCGTCTCTCCTAATAGCTCCTGGGCCCTGGAGCACCCATGACGTGCCTCATCTCAGACAGGTATTGCGCAAACTGAGCCCTGGCTGAATATCCACATTTTAGTGTCAAGGGTACTTTTGTCTTGCATGTTTAACAGAGTGGGCAGCTTGTGGCTCCTGTAAATTGAAGACAGCTTTTCTCATGAATGTTCCTGTCTGCTGTGAAAAGATTTATAAACTATAATAGAGTCATTTTAATAGCTTGCTTGAACATATTTGGCCCAATTATTGTCATCGTAAATTCCATGAAAAATCATTTATACAAACTGCCAATTTTGTTAGCTTTGTGCTATTTAAGGTCTATTTGCACAGGAATAAAGTGTTCCAAGTAGAGAACAAAGCACTTCTGTAGATCGCTCTGGATAATAGCCTCTGCCAAATACCATAAACGTAAATGTGCTTCTTACTGGTTTTACTAGTATACACCTTTCACCGCTTCCCATTCTTTTCAGGAGACTTGCTTTCAGTCTTAGTTCAAGTTCAGTCTTAGAAGTTGGTTGCATTATCTGTTTCTCACTATTTCACACAGTTTTTGTACCTGATTTTATAGGTTACACTTAACACAGATGAGGAAATCTCCAGAGTTACTATAGACTTCCCACCCTCAACCGACGTGCTGGAGCAGCGGACACTACCCCAGGACAGCAGGTCAGGATACATTACACTGTTAAAGGTGCCGTGTGTAAGATTTAGTGGCATCTAGTAATGAGGTTGTAGATTGCAACCAACTGAATCCCCTACCAATCATGCTTCTTCTTTCTACGTCTTCTAACTAATGCTATAGCGCCACCAAATTCAAGCTGCACTTCAACATAAAAACACGAAAGGCACTCTCTAGAGCCAGCGTTTGATTCGTCTCTTGTGGGCTACTGTAGAAACATGGCGGCGGAAGAAGACCCACTCGCTATGTAGATATGAAGGGCTCATGCTAAGCTAACGAAAACACAATCATAGCTACAGGTCATTATACACTAATGAAATCATGGTTTTGTAAACAATATTCCATTTCTGCTAATAGATCACCCTGAATCTTACACACTGCACCTTTAAACAGGTGCTATTTTTATTTTTTGTTTATTTATTTGCAATTTGAATCTTTTTAATTTATTGGAGTAACAAAATTGATTTGGTGATTTGGTGGTTTTATTGAGTGGCCCATATCCTGTGTTTTTCTTGTATTTATTTAATACACATGACCATTTTCTAACCTCTCTTAGTTTTTGTTACTGTGACTTTAAGACTGATATCTGTAAATTAGGTCTGTTCTGATTGTCTGAAACGCTCCTTATAACTTCAGCATGAATGGGTGGTGCTAAACCACTGTAGGCTGAATTGGTAGATATACGTTAATGCATTGGTTTTGGTGACATCACAAAAACAGTGAATGCCAAAACAGGCTGTTTTTGCAGCACAGTTTGCATATATGGACTGTATAGATAAAGTGTAGTGTTTTGAAACTTTAGTGGTGTTTAAATACTACATCAAACTCTTCTTTCACAAAAGCAAGGAAAACTTCATATGGGCCGTTCAATGCAACAGTGACATCTACTAACATTGATGGATTCATTACATGTGGAAGATCATTTGTAATGATTTGTACTCATGTTTTAAAGGCAAACATGTTCAAAATGGGGTCATTTTTGTCCTTTGCCATCCGGGACAAAGTAGAAAAGTTACATGCTGATCCTAGAATCTATCTATACATGACTGGGCTCTTGAACTCAGGACGAAATGTGTGAGAATGATCTGGTTATCTTGCTCTTTTGCAGAAGCCTCCTGGAAACAGATTCAGCCATCACTGGCCACATCCAGTTTGTGTTTGGAGAGAATATGAGTGAGAGGGTTCTGGTAAGTATCACTTTATCCAAGCTGGATCTACGTCTTATGAGCTCTGCTGTAGTTCATTTTCTTGGCATTTGGCGATTATTTCCGAAGTAACTGGGTTTTCTCTCCCAGAGTCCACAGAAGAGTCCGTGCAGTGAGGACATGTCCGATACAGACTGCAGCTCTACTGACTCAGATTCGTCCAGTTCTGAGGCCTCTAATAAAAGTAAGTCATGTAAATAGATCAGGGGCCAATACTAACTTTCCCTGAGATCAACATGGTCTTCTTCTGCATTCAGTGCAGATTAAAAGTACATTTCACAGATTTTCTTCTCATTTCTACATAATTAAGTCATTAAGATGTAAACAAAGTCATTCAGAGTGGTTTGATGTGAAATTTGAAGTGTTCACAGAATTGTTCACAGTGGTGGTGATAGGAACCAGACGTCTGAAGTGTTTAATGCCTCTGAAAGCTTCCTTGCATAAAGTGTGATTACATGAAATAGCTACAAATACGATGTTTAGACCAATATTTTAATACAGTTTTGAGAAGATTTCGGCCTGAAATGTGTTTTTAATGGAGGAGGGGTACATGCAAGATGATTTAAGGAAAAATAGTCCCCACTAAAACCTTTTTTCCAGATTTACTGCTGTTTTACCATCATCAGCATTGCACATAAAACTCAGAAGACACCTTTGGGTTCACTGGTGGTTTTGGATAGTGAATAAAATGGCTATATTTGCATTGTAGGCATTGCAACCCCTGGTTCCTATCACCACCACAGTAAAGAAATCAAAGTTGACAGTAAACCATTTCACATTAAACCACTGAAAGATCTCAACCACTAATTCATGCAGAAATTTTGAGAAATCTGTGGATAGAACTAGCTACAGTACCTCTGTTGGGCTTGAGAGGCTGACTGTTTTGTACCTTAAGTAAGCCTGAGCGTTTCTCCATACAGTCATTCAACTGAATTCCACAGCTTTGTGACCTGCCTAGTGGCTGAATATGTTGAGTGAAGGATTTATCTCAGCTATATGGTATTTGACTGCAAAAACTGTTTTTTTTCTAGTGACTGTCCGAAGTTCGCTGTGGGAGTCGGCAGCAGCTTACACTGCCGCATGCAAGAGGCGCTGCTTACTCAAGCGAGTCCGGGTCTTCACCGGAGAGGAAAATGAGAGCAACGTTGTCCAGGTCTGAAAAATGCCTTTTTACTGTGTTTACATATTACAGCCAAACATATTCAAGACACCTATAGACGGGTGTTAAACTAGAGGAAAAAACAATGTGAAGTATCTTAGAAAGGTGTTGGGCCACCGTGAGCCACCAGAACTGCTTCAGGATACATTAGTAAAGATTGTACAAGTCTCTGCAACTGTACTGGAGAGGTGGAAGACCATCTTTCCAAAAGTTGGTGTTTTGATGATGGTGGTGGAGAGCACTAACGCATCGCTCCAAAATCTCCCCACGTTCAGTTAAATTGAGATCTGTTGACTGTATAGGCTAAAGCACAAGATTTCAAACCATTCAGTGGCCCCTCCTGCCCTGCAGTTGGGGGTGTTGTCTTCTTGGAAGAGACCTGAAAAGTGACTCTTTGTCTGGTGTTTTGCTGGACAGCTTTTTAATCACTATTCCTCTTTTTCTCATTAAAGATTAAAATTAAATTTTTCTATTCCTCATTAAAGTTAAATGTAACATTTTAGATTTTGACACTGCATTGAAGGCCTATTTAGTGTTTTTATTTTGTTTGCTTGTTTGTTTTTTCTGCCTTTTTGGTCTTTCAGCCAAAAAGTGTTTTTTTTTGCCATTTTCAACTAAAAATCTATTTTGCTGCATCCTTATTTCTCAAAGTGAGGCTCATCAAAGACTTTTCACGAGTAATATATTACAGCAAATCACCACAAACCAATAAAATCTTTCATTTCATTTGACACACTGTATTGTGTTGGCAAATTCATTGTTAAAAATATGAAATACATAATTGTAAATGGACTCAATTGTGAAAGATTTCTTGGAACTTTACAAAAAATCACTGCTTGCTTCTATACTTTTGGCCAGTAGTGGAAGTTGTTCTAAATTGCCTGCGAATGAAAATGAAGCGTACGTGTTCTGAATGTTCTCTCTCTCTCTCTCTCTCTCTCTCTCTCTCTCTCAGCTGACGTGTAAGCTGTTTGTTTTGGAGAGGGGAACACAGTCGTGGAGTGAGAGGGGGAGAGGGGTGTTAAGACTAAACGACTTGGAAACTGGAACTAAAGGCTGCTTGCAGTCTAGAATGGGTAAGGCAGGAGAGACTCTGGCACCGCCTGGCAAAACTGTACTGGGTTCTGCTGTGTCTTGTGTAGTCTTGCAAGTCTTTCAAAAACAAGCATTCCAAGCAATTTTAGCATTTCTATTGGCCCAGTCATTGCAACATCAATACACAATATAACGGACAGTAGAGGAACACATGTTTGGTTCCACTTCTCCTCTGTGCAGACCAGCCATTGCATGAATCTGTTCAATTTCAACAAACACTGGGCTGCTCAAGGAGAAGTTTGGACACACTGTACAAAATCTTTGGCAGTCATGCAAATTGCTTAAACCTATTTCTCTCATCAGTACATGTGTTTTTGCCAGTAAAAACATTATATAACATTAGAATATATATAAACAAACATAAATACAGTCAAACATAAGTGTTTTGATTCATTTTTTGTATGCAGATTATAAGAATACCAAGTCCATTAGCAGCACCTGATTTTAATTAATGAAGGATTGATCAGATGAACTATGCACTTAAAATCGTTTTTTAAGCAGTAAAGAAAATCATCCTATATTGAACCATGAATACTCAAAAAACCTTTTCCATGATTAAAGGGTTCTTTGCATCGTGCAATGGCTTGTCAGATTGATGGAAAATGTGCTATAGATGGTTGTGTATAGAACCTTTTTGAAAAGGGTTCTTCAGTGTCAGGTTTGTTACAATAGAATAATCCTTTTTGGTGCCATATAGAACCATTTTCAAAAAAGGTTCTATATAGAACCATCTACAGCACATTCTCCATCACTCTGAGAAACGCTTTCACGATGCAAAGAACCCGTGAATCATGCAAAGCGTTGTTTGAAGGTTCATGGTTCTATATAGAACTATTTTCTTTACTGAAGAACCCTTGAAGAACCATCTATTTTAAGAGTGTAGGTATTGGATGGTAACTGTAAACACAGAGCTTGGATGGACTGTTTATTTGTGTGGTTTTTTTTGAAGGAATAAACGATTTAGGGCTTTTGCTATCCATTATATTTATGAAGTAATCTAGCAATTATTTAGATGATTAATCAAGCAATCATTTTCTTTTAAAACACCAAACAGTAAAAATAGGCTTAACTGAACCTTTCAAAGGTTTCAAATGCATTAAAAGATAAATATAATGATAACAAATATTCATACTTTGTATTTTACAGTGAAGCCTTAAGTAAAGCCTAGCTTAGATCTAGTTACATAAAATTTACATAAAACAAATAAAACCTTTTACAAAACAAAACTGCATATACATATATATATATATATATATATATATATATATGTGTGTGTGTGTGTGTGTGTGTGTGTGTGTGTGTGTGTGTGTGTGTATATGTATGCATATATGCATTACTGAGATCCCCCTAGTGTGGGTTTTCTCTCTTTCATTGACACAAAACAAAGTGATCTGTGCACAAATGGCACCCCCTTGTGGAACATTTTCAGTGTGCCTCACACGACCATGTATATCATTCGAACTTAAACTAATCACTAAGCTGACTCATTAAGAATCTAACTTTTAAATCAAAATTTTTAATCAAGTAAGTAATATTTTAAACAAGTAATTTTGACAGCATTGAAACACTTACTGCCCAGATTTACAGAAGATTTTATAGATTTACAAATCAGTTCTCAGAAGATTTTTGCACAGCACTATTAATCACTAAATTTGCATTATTGTGTATGTGTATTCATTTTAATGTTACTGTTTTTCCGATCAAATAAATCCTATATTTTTATTTCCTTCGCACAGTACTGTATATCAAATTATGCAAAAGTTGTTGATGTTGGCATCATATATTGATATATATTTATAAAATTCTGTTTCTGGACAGTGATGAGGCACCAGGGAAGTCTGAAAGTGATCCTGAACACCAAGCTGTACCCGCACACGCACCTGCGGCGGCCGGCACGGAGGAACCTGCAGGTGACGGCCACGGATTTGGAGAGCCACTCTGTGCGGGTGTTCCTGATCCAGGCCAGCGCGCGGGACATCGCTCGGTTGTATGTGGCCATCCACCACAGACTGGTGGCCCTGCGCTGCAGCCCCGCCAGCCTGACCGGAGAGAGTGCAGCGTTCCGGGACAGAGAGGGACACTGCAGCAGTGAGGAGGAAGAGGACGAAGATGAAGAGAAGGCTGAGGAGGACACAGACTTTTACACTCACACGATGTCTGGTAAGGCTTTATGTGTTATACGTTTAAATAGGGATGCATCAATATGGGAACTGTAGGGCGAAACTGATATCCGATATTTTTCATGTACATACTTGCAGATACTGATACCACTGTTAATACATATTTATTTGTAGAAGTTGGAAATATAGATACCTGAATTAGCATTACAGAGAAATATAACATTCTTTTGAGGGTTACAAATGCAGTAAAGTTAATATAATGCATATATTTTAACATTCAGCATCAAATGGTTGAATCTATCAGGGTTTAATAAATCCCTCATTAAATATCAGTTTGAAATATTGGCCACATCTAAACAGCTGTCATTTTCCTCATCTATTTGGAATAAAAGAGTTATGTAATGTAGTGTGTAAACATTGTTAAAGCTTCAAAACGTAACACTCCCCAGTCCATACAGTCCATACATGGGAACTAGACTGGAAAACTAGCCTGGTGTGAATTCATGAAAACCAGTGCATTTACACAAATCCCCCTATTCAGCCTACAGCAGTTTAGCTCCGCCCATTCACACTGAAGTTATCATTTACCACGATCAGTCTTAAAGGCACAGTAACCAAAACAGCCTATTTTAATCTCTTATTTAAGTCTAAGGGATTAATAGAGATCAGAAAATGTTCATGTAAAAATGAATGACTCATTGCATATGTTTGCGATCACTTGGATCATGGGAAGTGGAAAATGCTTCTCAGGCCCAATCCCATTTTGCCCCTTGCCCCTACCACTTAGCCCTTTTAGCTCTCCATTTTGTGTGCTCTCGTCTAGGGGTAGGGTGTCTCAATTTTTGTTGAGATTTTGTTGAGGGTAGGGCAAAGTGTTAAGGCTACATGACCCTCCAAACAGAGGTTTTTCAGAGACTTCAAACAGAGTGATATGAGAAAAAAAGAAAAAACGGCAAGATGGCTGAACAAGAGACCAAACAAACCCACAAATGTGAGAATTTTCTCTGTTAAAAAATTTCTAATAACCATTGTATTATCTTAGGTTAATGTTGTTTCAATGTATTATGGTCCTTTTCTTCATAACAAGCATAAAAAAATCGCTAGTAGTGCTGATGTCTCTGTAGCTAGATAAATTGCCTGTTCCACCTTAAATAGTCCTGCAGTTCGGATGCCTGAAGTGCAAGAATGTAACTGCTGCTCCATTTAAGGTGGAACAGGAAAATTCGAACAAGTAGCTGGCGAATAGCTGACTTCAGCTTCATATCACCAAAGAATTAGGGGTGGGCGATAGTACATAATTGTTGCGTCCCCCCTCTTTGAAGGCATATGATGCCCTAAATGTAACTAAAGCCCAGCAGTAAGGAGCTGAACTTTACCCTCCTCTGCTGTCACTGCAGACTGGCAGGGTCGCCTACAGAGCAGCGCTAGTAGCTGTTAATGAAGTAATGTCCCATTTCGTGGGGGAAGATTTCAACCACTACCTGTTGTAACTCAATTCCAAGGGGAGCAAGGTCACACACACAAGATAAGGGCTAGGGGTAAAAATAAGAAATGGGATTGGGCCTAAGACTGAACTTTGGAGGTGTGGAAAAATATCCCTGCAGATTTCTTTGACAAACTGAAAGCTTAAAAATTAGTACTGAAAATGTGCTATTATATTTAGTTGCTGAGGTTTGGGTGCACTTCATTGTTAAATATGTTTGTGTTTTTTTTTTTTCCTGACACTGAAAAAAGGAATAACTCAATGGCCGTATTGACTGGAAATGGAAATTAAATAGAATAAGGGTGATCTCTAACTTCTGCATGTATTGTTACATTCCTAGAAATTTATTTACTTATTTATTTATTTATTTGTATTTTTTCTGTTTTCAGGGACTTGTAATTGGAGGCACAGTCATTCCAGGTTCTGTCCATGATCACCCCACCACCCTGGTGCCTCAGGATGACTCCTGTCCTGCCTTTGCTCTCTGCCATTCCAGAGCACCTGTGAACCATAGCCTTCTGTGCTCAGTCACAGAGCTGAAGACCAGCACAGGGACTTAGAACAACACAGAGGCAGCTGTTGGAGAGCAGCCTGTAAAGTGTATCTTCAGTATTAACCCCAAACATTTGCCAAAGAACAAAATGACTTCGTATAATGCTGTGAGAACTTCTCTTTTTCCTGTTCGAGGGACAATAAAGGAGGGGCTTCAAGTGTCTTGAAAGTGATATTTTGTCCATTGGATCTTAAGCTCACACTATGCATTCACAAGCTCAGAGACCATTTCAGAAAACTGTGAAGATGTCGGGAATATCCGTGTCATGAGATATCTATGCTACTGGGACGATTTTGTGGAATTCAAATGGACTTTTTAAATGTTTTCTTTGTTTGGAAAAGGGTTTAATTGCCTACACATTCTTTTCTACACAGCTGTGGCCTACTACAGTTTGAAAGGCCCACTACAGTTTGGAAGGCCCACTACAGTTACAGTTTGAAGATTATAGGTAATTTGCTACACTGTTTATTTATAACATTACAGTACTTCACTCTTATAACAGTGGATTTCTGCTCTACCTCATGAATGTTATTGTACAATGTCAGGTCTTCTGCACTGAATTTTGGTTTCAAGTGTCACAAGAAAAGTAATTGACTGGAATCAGTTTTGACTTTTTGTCTTGTGTGTCAAAAGAAGGTTGGAGAACGATTGTTTCTTAAAATGTAAATTCAGCGAGTCAGACTAGTCTCATATTTCTTTAAATATCTGAGAATTTTTTGGGGGTAAATCTGCTAAAATAAAGAAATAACACATTTGCTGTTGATAACTTTTAAGGGCTAAAACAAAAAATTATTATATATTTTTTATATCATAATTTCTGTCTGAAATGCAATAAATAGCTCATAAAAATATATGATGACTACCTCTTTATTTTCTTTAAATAACCTGTCTAAAAACTTCTTGGGTTTTGCCAGTTTTTTGTTGACCAAAGCATTTTTCACCCTTACTAGATTTAAATAGACAGTGCACTCTGTATACAATCAGGTGATATTGAGGCAATATTATTAGGACAATTTTAACCTCCAGCCTAATTATATTTTAAGGCTTATTTCCAAGTAACTACATGGAAAAGGTATTTATAACTAATAGGCATGTATGACTCCATTGGCAAAGTTCAGTCATAGAAGTTGGTTGCAGTTTCTGCTTCCCACAATCCAAATAATGCCAGATACATTCAGTGATGTTGAGGTCTGGACTCTGGGGTGGTCAGTCCATCATTCAGCTTCTTTGTTTGATGTGTCCATCTCCTTTTCTCAGTGAGGTTCTTCTTGACAGCTACACATCCTTTCAGACCCATACCGCTGAGTCGTCTTCTCACAGTGGAAGGATGGACAGAAACACCTGTGGATGTTTTCAGATCTGAAGCAGCTTGATTTTCTCCTCTCTCTCAAAGATGAAAGCTTTAAGTGCTGTTTATCTGGTGGGGACAGTTTTGGTGTCTACCAGGTCTTCCAGGTGGTTGTTAGGAATCCCATTTTTTCTGTAGCTTTTAATAAGTTTTCAAACTCCAGTTTTGGAAACTCCCTTTTTCAAGTATTTTTCTTTAACTTTACAGCTTTACACAGTACTTGTCCATATGAAAGATGACCACACCTACAAAAAAACACTCGCAATTAACCCAGGCTGACCTGAGTGCTGAAAATGAAAAACACATTAAAAAGATCTGCTCAAGAGCCAAAGCATGCAGTGGAGAGTTGGACAAATATGTCTCTAGGCCTTCAGTGGTGGCCTGATTTCTGTCTTGTCTGAATGCTTCCACACTAAATGTATACCCCCTCATCATCTAGCAGCTCAGTGGCTTTGGCCTCCACACTGACTTGGCAACCAGAGTTCTTTTGCATGGAAATTCTGATCTGCCCAATCCATTAACTAATCTGACCCAACAGAACACAGAGCATTCATACAGGCCTGGATCAGCATGACCAGGGAACAGACAGTACCTGGCATCCATTCACGCCAAGGCTGCTGCCATCAGTACTACCATAACAATCTCTACATTATATTTCAACTAGTTTTTTAAAGCTGGGCCCTAAATATATTTCTTTTACATGGGGATTATCGTCTGGTTTCAATTGGATCGTCAGGAAAAACTATAGGTATAGGCATGCTTACTACAGTGTTATTACAGATTTTACATTTGTAATTAAATTTGGTGTGAATGAAGCCTCAGCATGTAGCTTGTTTTCTGATGAGCAGATTCAAAAGGACCGATTCACTGAATTGGTTCAAACAGTGGTCATACAATAAAAAAACTATTTAACCCTCCTGTTATCCTCAAATATACTAACATCTATGATCCTTGGGGTCAGTTTGAGCCCAGCAGTTTAAACCTCCAGGAAATATCAAAGTCCGGGTGGGAGTTCTGTAACCCCCCAATGTGGTGTGAACTACTGGTCCTCGCACTACTACAGCTGTGGTTATATTAGCTTAGGGCCCTAAAGCAGAGGGAGGTTTTTTGAAGATTATAAAATCACAGTGATCTCAATATCATTCAAAACAACCAAAACAAATGTGTGTAAAATGTTGATAATTCTTATGTTTCACACAGCTAAAACTGTCCGAACACCGATGTGTACAGGACACTGAAAGCATGAAACATCATGTCAAGTCTATGTTTGCCCACTTGTCCACAATAAATTAGTAAAAGTCACTAAATATGAAGCAAAAAAAATGGTGTCAATCATTTATTTAGAGTAAACATTGAATGGGGTCAAATTAACCCCAAATATAACAGGAGGGTTTAAAAAACAATTAAGTAACCAGACCTTAGATATTTACAAGGAATGTTTTATGATCTATTTGAACCCAAGGCATTGATAGAGATAATAACAAGCTAAATATATACAAAATAATTTTTAGGGTACTTTCTATGGAAAGGTGTCTGATTTTTATGTTTGTTTTTTTTAAGGCGCAAGGTGGAAAGCAACAGCCACGTCTTCATTACATTTTAAGGTAGGTTCTATTTAATTCTGACAGCTTTTCATTGTTAAAATGCAAATCTTCATATATTTTGTTTCAGTAAAGAGGTCAAGCGATATGAAAACAATGTAATACACGGTTTTGTTTTTCATTTTCCATGCCACTATGGAAAAGTACCGTCATGTGTGCACTGCATTTCATGTTTTTCCACTGTTTTCAGTCTAGCTAAATATATACAAGTCCTCTCCATATATACACAAAGCTGTGACTGCAGTGTTGGGTTTTTTTTCATGGTTCATTAAATCAGTGTTTCTCAGCTCTGGTCCTGCACATTTGAGTGCTTTTCCTGCATTAACACAGCCACTTTAACTCAATAATGGGCTGTTAATGAGCTGAATACACTCTGAAAAAGACGATTCTTCAAGGGTTCTTTAGTAAAGGGAATGGTTCTGTTTAGGACCATAAGTTCTATTTGCTTAAATGGATGTTTGCATGGTGAAATAGTTATTTGAATTGATGGAGAATGTGTTGTATATAGTTCTCTGTATAGAACCTTTCTGAAAATGGTTCTATATAGCACCGAAAAGGGTTCTGCTATTGTTACAATGTCAAGCTTGTAACAGTAAAAGCACCCTTTTTGGTGCTAAATAGAACCATATACAACACATTCTCCATTAATCGTTAATGAATGGATTAATTCACCATGCAAAGAACACTTTACATATACAAATGGTTCTTTGAGTGTTCATGGTTCTATATGGAACTACTAAGTACCCCTGAAGAACTGTATTCTTTAAGTGTGATTTGTTACAAACTTGTCATTGTAATTGTATGCAACACATTCTCCACCAACCTGAAGTTCCATTTCGCCATGCAAAGAACAGTTCTTTGAGTGTTCTTGGTTCTATATAGAACTACCAAATAGTTTTAATGAGTGTGTATAGAACCATTTCATGCTGCATGGTGAAATGATGGAGAATGTGATGTATATGGTTCTATATAGCACCAAAAAGGGTTCTTTAGTTGTTACAAGCTTGACATCTTTTGGCAGCTTTTCAGAAAGGTTCTATATAGGTTCTATATACAACACATTCTCCATCGTTTTACCATGCAAAGAACCATTTATGCATGGCTCTGAATAAAACCATTCCTTTTACTAAAGAACCCTTGAAGAACCATCTTTGTAAGAGTGTAGAGCCACATACAACACATTTTCCATCAATCTGAAGAATGACTTCACCATGCAAGAACCATTTAAGCATGAAATGGTTCTATATAGAACTCATGAACCTAAATCGAACAATTCCGTTTACTAAAGAACCCTTGAAGAAACATCCTTTTTAAAGTGTATATAGAACCATTTCATGCTTAAATGGTTCTTTGCATGGTGAAAAGATTGAGAATGTGCTGTATATGGTTCTATATAGCACCAAAATGGTCCTTCTATTGTTACAAGCTGGATAGCTTTTCCAAAAGGTTCTATACAGAACCGCATACAACACATTCTCCATCATTTCACCATGCAAAGAACCATTTAAGCATGAAATAGTTCTATGTAGAACTCATGGTCCTAAGTTAAACCATTCCCTTTACTAAAGAACCCTTATAGAACCATCTTTTTTTAGGAGTGTAGAACCATTGACAACACATTCTCCATCAGTCTGAAGAACGACTTCATCATACAAAGAACTATTTAAGCATGAAATGGTTCTATATAGAACTCATGAACCTAAATCGAACCATTCCCTTTACTAAAGAACCCTTTTTAAAAAGTGTATATAGAACCATTCCATGCTTAAATGGTGTTTTGCACGGTGAAATTATGGAGAACGTGCTGTATATGGTTCTATATAGCACCAGAAAGAGTTCTTCTGGTTTTACAAGCTTACCATTATTGGACAGCTTTTCAGAAAGGTTCTATATATGTTCTATATACAATACATTCTCTATTGTTTCACCATGCAAAGAGCCATTTATGCATGAACTGGTTTTTTATTAAATTTATGGTTCTGAATAGAACAATTTCCTTTACTAAAGAACCCTTGAAGAACTATCGTTTTAAGAGTGTAGAGCCTTATACAACACATTCTCGATCAATCTGCAGAACCATTTAAGTATGCAAAGAACCATTTAGGCATAAAATAGTTCTATATGGAACTATTCTCTTTACTAAAGAACCCTTTAAGAACCATCTTTTTAAAGAGTGTATACAGAACCATTTCATGCTTAAATGGTTCTTTGCATGGTGAAATTATGGAGAATGTGCTGTATATGGTTCTATACAGCACCAGAAAGGGTTATTCTGTTGTTACAAGCTTGACATCTTTTGACAGCTTTCCAGAAAGGTTCTATATAGGTTCTACATACAACACATTCTCCATTGTTTTACCATGCAAAGAACCATTTATGCAAGAAATGGTTCTATATAAAAGTCATGGTTCTGAATAGAACATTTTCCATTACTAAACAACCCTTGAACCATCGTTTTAAGAGTGTACAGCCTTATACAACACATTCTCGATGATTCTGCAGAACCATTTAACTATGCAAAGAACCATTTAGGCATAAAGTTCTATATAGAACTATTCTCTTTACTAAAGAACCCTTTAAGAACCATCTTCTTAAGAGTGTAGAGCCATATACAACACTCTCCATCAACCTGAAGAACCATTTCACCATGCAAAGAACCATTTAAGCATAAAATGGTTCTATATAGAAGTCATGGCTCTAAAAAGAACCCTTTAAGTACCACCTTTTTAAGACCAGCTGGATCAGGTGTGCTGGGAGCGGGGAAAACAGTGCAAGACACTGGGCCTCCATGACCAGAGCTGAGAAACAGTGCATTAAACTAAGTAACCTTCAGTGAGGCGTGCGCGCCCTCTAGCGTTCGCGTCTCTCCATCACAGTCAAGAACAAGTTTTTCTGGCCGTGTGTAACTTCCGTGTAGGTCAAAATCCGAGTCCCTTCATTTTTTTCAGATGGTCTGGCATGAACTGCACCACAGAGTCCACCTGAGTTCACCCAAGCAGGGGTGAGGGGACTCTGACAGCGCGTGACTGTAGCCGCCCTTTCACCCTCGGACATGGCAGATTTGGCCGTTTCTGTCGCTGTCCTGGTCGGAATCGTGCTGTTCTGCGAGGCGGCGAGGAGGTCAGTTAAAGCCGTGTTCTCCAGAGGGGATTACAGCCTGTACCTGATCGAGGTCCTCTCCACTCTTCAGCTCTGCGCATGCTCGCAGGAGCTGAAGCTGCTGGGCGAAAGTGGGCGCATTCAGCCGCAGACCGGACTGACCCTCATCTACCTGATCACCGTCGTCCACGTCTCAACTTTCCACGGCGCGCTCTGCAACCCCTCGGGCGCTCTCGAGCTGCTGTACCGGGGGTCTCTGCGCCCCTCAGCCTCCTCGGTGTTGATCGCGTGCCAGCTGAGCACGGCGTGGGTCTCGCGCTACGCTGCGTCCTACCTCTGGTCGTTCGGACTGTCCGACCTGCACCTCGCTCACAAAGCGCATGGATATCAGTGTTTTAACCCCATCAGCGCCTCCCTGCCCACTGCTGCGGCCGTGGAGATGACCTGTGCGTTCGTCCTGCAAGCTGCGGTCATGAACATCGGCATTTTCAGCGAGAATTTAAGAGTCCACGTCATTGCTGCTGTCATCACGAGCCTGGCCTATGCAGGTATGACAGGAATGCGCATCTGAGAAGTTTACCTCCTTCTGTTTGCACTCACTGTCCACTTTATCAGCTCCACTGACCATACAGGAGCTCTTTGTAGTTCTACAGTTACAGACTGTAGTCCATCTGTGGTTACCCTGTTCCTCAATGGTCAGGACCCCCACAGGACCACCACAGAGCAGGTATTAATTGGGTGGTGGGCCATTTTCAGTGACACTAAAATGCTGAGAGTGATCCACCCAGGGGTGGCGCCACACCTCTAAAAGTAACTGGTAACTAGTTACATTTACTCCACTACATGTACTTCACTAAAGTATTGATGGATTTTTATTATATATATATATATATATGTGGAGTATTTGGGAAATTGTTGCTATATGGCAACAATGCGCAATCGTACCATAGCACCATAAAATCTAAAAAAAAAGCACCATAAAATGGTAATTTTTCTCTAAAAACTTGTCCATAAAATGAACAATGAGCGTAGAAACAGGGAGGTGGTCAGAATGTCATGCCTGATCAGTGTATATGAAAGTGTACTGAGGCTTAGTTTATTCTCTCTTCTTTTTCCAGGTGGTAGCATTACTGGGGCAGTTATGAACCCAGCTCTGGCATTTTCAATACAGTTTCCCTGCTCTGGGCACAGTTTCCTGGAGTATGCATTTGTCTTCTGGTTGGGGCCCATTTTAGGTAAAACTGTGTTACTTTGTTTCCAATCAGTATATTGGATTAAAGAATTAGGGTAGTGCTATTTTGCTGTTAAAGGGCCCATATCATGGAAAAACGAACATTCCTTGTTTTTTTTTTTTTAAATAAAAGTCTTTGATGTACTACGTAAAATTTCAAAACATACCATCCGCTCCCCAATCCATACAGTCCATATATGAAAAACAGTCTGTTTTGAGTTCATTGTATTTGCTGACTGATGTCACAGAAACCACAATAAATGTAAATATATTCATTTATTTGGGCTACAGCCAGTCATGCTTAAGTTATAAGGAATGTTTCAGCCTGGACTGCTTTTTGAATAAATCACAATACAGGGCAGCCAATTAAAACAGAGCTCATTTACATACATCAGTCTTAAAGACACAAACAGCTTTTAACAAAACAGCCTTTTTAATTCTAAGGAATAAAGAGAGACTGGAAAATTGTCATGTAAAAATGAATTATGACTGTTTTTGGTACATAAAGCCACTGAAACATGGATCCCATGAAAAATGTAAGATATGGGCCTTTTAAGGTGAAATGTTCCTTAGGTTATAACACCATATTTGTTGATTTTTTTATTTATTTATTTTGTAAATGTATGCTCATTTCAGATTTGAACAACACATTCCAAAAAAGTTTGGAGACGAGCATGTTTATTACTGTTTTACATCCCTTTACCATTTAACAGCACTCGATAATTGTTTGAGGACTGACGACACAAACTGATCCAGTTTTGAAAGCAGAATTATTTGCTAATGTTGCATCTTAAACTGCACAGCCATACGGGTCCTTCGTTGTTGTATTTTGCACTTTACAAGGCACCACGTTTTCAGTGAGAGACAGGTCTGAACTGCAGGCAGGTCATTCTAGCACCTGCACTCTCTGATTATACCTGTTAATACATGTGCAGAATTTTTCTTGGTCCCTGAAAAAGACGGCATCTAAAAGGCAGCACATGTTGCTCCAAAATCTTTTAGCATTAATGGTGCCTTTACAAATGTGCAAGTTACCCACTAATGCACCACCATACCATGACAGACTCTGGCTTTTCAACAATTTGAATGGTCCTTTTCTTCTTTGGTCAGAGAACATGACATCCATTGTTTTCATAAACAATCTGAGAGGTGGACTTGCCAGACTACAGCACACATTTCCACTGTACATCAATCCATTTCAGATGAGCTTGAGCCCAGAGACGTCGGCAGCGTTTCTGGACATTGTTGACATATGACTCCTGCATAGTACAGTCTTAACATGCATTTGTGGATGCAGTGACAGATGGTGTTCATTGACAACTTTTTTTTTAAAGCATTTCTAAGTCCATGGGGTGACATCCATCAGAGTAGCAGCTGGTTTCTTAATCCAGTACTAAGAGATCGAAAGTCACAGACATTAAGATCAGCTGATAGTCGATACCGATCAAGGGCCTTAAATGGTGCAGCATTCCAGCATTCCACTGCTGTCGAAAGAAAACCTTGTATCTCCAAAATGATCACAGCAAAAGGAAAAAACATATTGTACTTTTAATGTAAGTCAACTGAACCAGGCTTTTTTTCCAAGTAATTCTGGGCCGTTTCTTTTGGTCCATTCTTCATGAAACTTACACACAATGTAAAGGGTAACAGGCATTTTCACATTATGCCAATAACTGAAAAATGACAAAAATGGAGATACAAGGTTTTCTTGACAGCAGCACTCAGGCAGGAGTAACCATTGAAACAACCGCCACACAACCGACACAGCTAACAGGACAAAACAGTCCTTCTGCTTCACAAATGGGTTTTTAAATGTACTGAAAAGGCCAAAAGGGCTGACATATGATCGCTTTTTTTAGTTCTGTGTCCTATTTTTATTTTTAGTCTGTGCCAAAGCCATAGGTCATGAAGTCAGCAGTGTAAGCTAAGCTAAGATTAGCGCTTGGATGCTAACATGCTAACAGAAACAAATCCTCATCAAATTACGGCTCTACACGTTCATACAGCAAGTTTACAGTGACAAATGAGCCAAATGTGTAATATTATTCAGGAAAAATGTTTTTCATCTGTGAAATAGATATGACGAAGCTGAAGTTTGCCTATTCGCCAGCTTCTTGTTCAAATTGGTGCAGCAGTTACATTCTGGTGCCTCAAGTGAAATATGGCTCATCTGTTTTACGCCACTGATCAGCTTTCAGGATTGGCTAAGGTAGAGAAGTACTGACCGATCGGCAATCACATTTGGGCTGAAAATCAGCCGGCACTGATACATAGCCAATTGATCCTTCCTTCTCTAGTTTTTGGACCTTTATGTACAGAGATGTGTCCAGATTAGCTGATTAGCTTTTGATATTTTGCACTGTAGAGGGTGAAATACCTAAAATCCTTGCACTAACTTGTTGAGGAACATTGTTCTTAAACTGTTGGATCATTTACCAGTGAAAAGTTTTCTTTGACCCATCATTGCTTATAAGAACTCTGCCTTTCCTGGATGTTCCTTTTATATTAAGCATCTTTGCATCACCTGTTTATGATGTTCTTAAGAACGTTAATAGTCTTCAATTGCCTTTTAAAAAAGCTTCCTTTTATGGAATGTGTTGCAGGCATCAATTTCAAAATAAGTGTATATTTACTGAAAAAAAACAATGAACTTGACAAACATGAAATCTTGTCTTTTTTGGAATTTTGGAGGTTTGTATTATTACCATATGGTTATAAAAGCACAGGCACACATTTCTATCCATCAAAGTCACAAATCTTACCATTTGCAGTTACCAGTGGGTGACTTTTTTGCATTATTATTATTTTGCAATGCTCATGATATGTAATGCACTACTTTATACCTCTGCACTTGTGCATATCATATTAACCCATGTTTGTATGTTCCCCACCCTCTAGGTACAACGAGTGCAATAGCAGTATTTGAGAAGTTAATTCCTTTTTTATTGAAGAGACAAACTTACGGGAAGAAAATCCAGTAATGAAGGGGCCAAGAAGAAAAGACAGGAACTTCTACCTCGGTGTTGAAAAGCATCCTCAGTTATTCTGTCTTAATCTGCACACACTAATATTTTAATCAGTCATTTAGCCACAGGTTCATTTCCAGGGTTCTTGGGCTGGATAATGTGAAGCAGCATTTATAACTGCCTAATTTTTAATACTAAACTGTTGTGGGTGTCTGTGTGTGAGGGAGATACTGGATATCTATGGTGGACTGAAATATTAAGATTAATATACTTTTATTTAGTAACTGTTGCATCATCTTGAGGTTTTAGGCTGCCTATTGAAGGCCTGGAGCAATGCTTGAGAGGGGAAGACTCTTCCCCAAAACCATTACTGGACCTTGAAGTAGAAACTTGAAGCAACGTGATATCATTACTCTGTCTGATATTAAAATGATTGATGGTGTAAGTAGGGTTGGGCAATGTAGCAAAAAAAAATATATCACTACTTGAAGGAATTTTCTTGATACAATTAGTAACATGATTTTAGTTTTTTTGCATTATTATTTTGCAATGTTCATGATATGGAATGGGGAAAAAGTCCCTCAGAGCCTTTTAGGTCTTCAGAGAGGACCTAATGATTTCTGTGAAATAAAAAAAAATTAAAATGTCATTTTTAGTAATTATTATTTTATTTACTTAATTTAATTGTCATGCTTGTTTAATCCCTGCAAGTACTGTAGATCTACTATTTCATTGATTTTGGTTGGAAACAGATGGGTTAAATTCTTAAAACGCCCAGCAGAAAACTGTCCAATCAGGATTTTTTTCTCTGTCGTATCTAAGCAGATACAGCTGAAAGAGCTCTCCCATTGGTTAGGACCTCAGGAGCTGAACTGAAGGCCTAAAGTAACAGTTAGGAAGAAACAGTGGATCACATTTTGTTGTCAAGTGGGTGGGATTAATTTTGGGAGGAACAAAACATCACTCTAGGCTTTTTTTGAAGTTCTAGATGCGTCACTGTCTGTGAGTACAAGTGGTAGCCTGAACAATGTGTTTCAGTCAGTTATGAATGCAAACAGTAGCTCTTTGTCAGGACTCTTTACGGACAAACTGCAGCATACAAGGTAATATATAATCATTTTATGATATATATTATATAAGTTTGTTACAAGCTTCATATAAAACACAGAATGTCACATATAATCTAGAACCAAAAAATGTTTGTGAATTGCCCTTAGCTTAACACTAACATACTAGGAAAAATCTCATAGGTGTGCTAGCAGAAATAAGCATTGTTGTAGAGGTGTTTTTCCTTGTTTTTGACCAAGATTTGATATTTATGGCTCAAATTGATGGCCAAGCTCTATTACTCAGGGTTCACCACTGGTAGTGCCAAATTAAAAAAAAACAAAAAAAACAAAAAAAAACAATGATTTTTGTTCAGTATTTCACATACGGCACTACAGTAAACCAGTTAAACTGATCTAATTAGGCTCTAATGAAATATGCAGTTAGTCAGTGTTCTTTAAGTACTAATGATACACTCCAAAAAGCACGACAACTTATCACAAGAAAAATAAAACATCATATTGCCCACCTCTTAAGTGTAACTTGTAAAATTGGTCAGTTTTGAAACTTGGAGACTGGAGACTATCCAGCCTGTGTGCTAACAACGAGATCGGTATTAAGCAAAATAACTACGATTGGTCCAAGTGTGATCTTAAAAAGGACAATGCAGGATCTTTTAAAGATGCATTCCAGCATCAAACTAACTTGGAAACGACCCAGCTGCAGTATAATTAAGTCTGAATGATGAACTCTGGAGTTCATCTTCCACCTCTCTTTAAAGTGACCATAACTGTATGAATAAACCTTTGTACAGGATTTCACAACATTCGTCTGTTTTGCATTTAAAATTATTAATGGACCAATAAATAAGAAATTATAACATGCAGTAAGACTTTATTTGGATGGTGCACTGTAAACGCTTTGTAGATGCTCAGTCTATCTTTAACTAACATTCAAATAAATATCAACTAAATGCACTGAACTTGAACTTGTGTGTGAAATATTCTATTAAATCTATTCCTTATCATAAACTTAGCCCTAACCCTAACCTCAAGGCAAAATCTACACATACTCCTAGACCTAAACCCTAACCTTAATATTGTTGATAATCAACTGAGTATCACCAGAAAGTTTGTTAACAATTTAAGTAGCTGTAGATCATCTATAGGGGGCCATCCAAATAAAGTGTGACCCAAGACTGCATCTTTTCATCTAGTTATCTAAAGTCTGCAGACTTACAGTAGCTTAGGATTCACTTCTAACCATTAACATGCTGCATAACAAAATACTGCAGACACTGTCACAAAGAAATAAGAACGTATTTGTCCGTTGCACAGGAAGGAGTGTTCCAGCCACAGATCTCAGCAGTTTCACCCTGTAATTACTCCAGACATCTCAGGGGAAAGTTGAGTTGGGTTTCCTGGGCAGGCTGACATCAGTGGTTTAAGATTTTATCCTTTAAATCGTGCAGTGGAAAAACACCACATGCTATCTCCACCCTTGGACTGCTGAGTTTCAAGTTGAAGGCATTCAGCTGAAGAAAGTATCTGTAAATATTTAAGATATTGCGCTATTAAACAAAAAATGTTTGACTCAGCTGAGCTAAGTTGACCACCTTCCAGGAAAATGGAGGCTGGAAAAGAGTTTTAGATACAGTACTGTGCGAAAGTCAGAGGCCACATTCATTTATTTAATTTCCAGTCAACACAGCCATTAAGTAGATAGTAGATAAAATAATCCAAAATCTCCACCATGGACAGCATTTTCCAAAAACTCAGTTTTCAGTGACCTAAAATCAAAAGAAAGTATACCTTCAAGAGATCCATGTCTGTGAGGATGAGCAGGTCTGTGCACATGAGCAATGAATGAGTATAATTGAGCCATGCAGTTTAAACTAAAATGCAGCTCAGCTCGTCAGCTAACAGTGTTTATTTTGCTAAATCAAACCAGAACTTGCCCAAAAGCAGACAGTGACACATTGTTTTTAACTTTTCATTACAATTTTACTGCAGTTTACAGTCACGCTGCTGTAAAAGGTGAGTAGTTTTACACATCTTAGAGAAAACTGCCTTTCTAGACAACGTTAAAGTGAAGTGTTCCCATATTTTTGACTTTTCCATCATGCATCATGAAGTCTCTTCTATCTGTGTTTTCCCTTTTTCATTCAAGTGACGTAAATTGGGAGCACAAACGTCATCAAGCCACCTAACTGATAAGATTTGCGTCCAACTTTTAATTATCAATGTTACCGTTACTTGTTTTTACAGCCCTCAACACAAGCTTGTATACGCAACCCCAACGTCAATTTCTTCTCCAAGTTTTGACTGAGTTCTTGTTGAATACTCTTTCGCAATCATCTGATTCTTCCCTTCAGGTAAGGGGTCTGAAGCACAACACGTTACATTGCACGTTGCATGCAATTACATATTTCCACCAGAGAGGTCTCCAAATCCCCAGTCTTGCATGGTGTAAATACAGTACTGGTTGGTGTCTTTACAATTTATGGTCAAGTGCTTAATGGAAATGGTTAATTTAATAGGCCATTATCTGAGAGCTGATTCCAAAAGATGTGGGCAGGATCAAGCACAGTGATACTAGTTATCTCTACCTCAATCTCCTGTGAAATGACAGCCCCTATCCTCCCCACAACACCAACAGGAAGCAGCAAGAGACAAAGCAGGGCTTCTTTTCAAGTGCTGGCTAGGAGGGTGGGGGGGAATGAGTTCAGCTCTCCGGAAGAGGGCATGACAGTACCTGATCACTGGCACAACACGAACTGGGTAAAAACTAGGACACTTCTCTGTGTGACACTGGCACCAGCAACACTATTCAAAAAACACAGACAAGCCCAGTCAGGGATTTAAACAAACAAAAAACTGAAATCCCCTCTCCCAAATAACAGAAGCAGCACATATATATATTCTATTTATTACATTATCAAAATGCACAAATTAGTCAGAACTGATCCTTGTCAGTAGAAAAGAAGTCAATACAAAAGTTACATATAAATCAGAATATGACCGCCTCATCACTTCTGCCAGGGGGCATGGGGGGGGTGTGGTGTTAGCCATCAAGTGTGCAACAGTTTAGTCTAGTGACATTCATAGGGCCCAGTGCTTTGGCTTCTGTTAAAATTCAGCATCTCCCCCCTACCCCGTTCCAGCTCCTTTTCAAGTGTTTCTGGCGAGAGAAAACAAGAGGCTCTCTGTTCCATCTGTAGAAGAGGGACAGAGCCCCCACAGCTGATTAGAAACTGGCCTCATGAGGGCTGGGGCATCACTGACAGTATGCTCATTTGGAATGTCCGTAATTGTACAATTCGGTAAGGAACCAAACAGTGAATTTTTGTCGTTTGGGCTCTTCATTCTGGCACACTGGATTTGGAATGAGAGTGAATGAGGGTAAAGATATAAACTTAAATTTGAGCAGGAACCGTATAGGAATCACATCCTTTCTCATACATAACCCCCCATCTCAGCAGACCATTAAGGAGATTAAAGGGTTAATAGACTTACACACATCGACCGGCCACCTGTTTCTCTGCATGCTCTGTTAGCCCCCTTTCACCCTGTTCTTCAATGGTCAGGACCCCCACAGGACCACCACAGAGCAGGTACTATTTGGGTGGTGGGTCATTCTCAGCACTGCAGTAACACTGACATGGTGGTGGTGTGTTAGTGTGTGTTGTGCTGGTACGAGTGGATCAGACACAGCAGTGCTGCTGGAGTTTTTAAACACCTCAGTGTCACTGCTGGACTGAGAATAGTCCACCAACCAAAATATCCGCCACAGCGTCCTGTGGGCAGGTCCGTGACAGCGTCCTGTGACCACTGATGAAGGACTAGAGGATGACCAACACAAACTGTGCAGCAGCAGATGAGCTATCGTCTCTGACTTTACATCTACAGGCCGGACCAACAAAGTAGGAGTGTCTAATAAAGGGGACAGTAAGTGGACACAATGAGGGGAAATGATGTACTGAGAAAATCATTACTGCAGCCATAACTCTGTGAAAAATCAATCATTAACCAGAAGCCGATGTTGGCTTCTGTATCTTTTTCATTCCCCCTTAAACTATGCAGAAGTTGTGCATGTGCCAGAATGTAACTGCAGCACCTTTTAAGGTCGAACAGAAAATTTTAATAAGAAGCTGCCGAATAAGAAGCCAATTTCAGCTTTAAAGCTTTATAAAAAAATACTGCTTATTTTTATTTTTTGTTTTCTTTTCTTGTTCCATTTCAACACTGGTTGAACAATTATTCATTGTTTGGTTTACAGTTAATCATTTACATTCCTAATAGCCAATTAAGAGTAACCAAAAAGCTGTCCAGTTACATCTGGTCCATTAAAATGAGGGAACTTGCCCAATATTTATGTAAATAATAACCCCTAAATCACCCATGGGGTTATTCACTTTAACCTCAGTCATTGTTTTATTTCAAATCTAATGTGCTGCAGAGCAGAGCCGAAACAATAAGAAATGTCCAATTAGTTAAGACTTAGTTTAAGAATTAGTTAAGGCATGTACAAGACACTATAGACAGATACCAAAGCTTACCAGTGGTCAACATCAGCATCGTCAAATTGCCCAGAGATTCCAAGAGCCTCTGAATTTGTCTTCAACTCATCTGTGAAAGGAAAACGTTAAAGAGGCTCATGAATAAAACTGAAAAAAGGACTTTAATTTAAATAATACTGTGGTAGAGATGTGGGATGCTGAGTAAATAGCAAAGCAGTCAGAGAACGTGGCTATCACTCAGACGGCTCTGGGCTCAATCCCATCTGATGACAACAACGTTGTGCCGCTGAGCATTTAACCCCACACTGCCCAAGGAGACTACTTGTACAATGCTGGGGAAAGGCTTCCATTAAATGAGCAGAATAAAAACATGATTTGATTTTAACTTGAATATCACATCCAGCAATATTTAGTACTGTGCAAAAGTCAGAGACCATCCTTCATTCGTCTCATACATTCCAGTTAAAACGGCCTTTAAGCACACGTTTCATTTTTAGGAGATTAGATATAAGATAATAAGGTAGGAGGAAGTCAAGGGAAAAAAGGTTGCTAACACTGGAGGTCAAAATAGTATTCAAAAGCTACAGGGAAAATGCGACTCCTAACAACCACCTGGAAAACCTGGTAGACACCAAAACTGCCCCATCAGATAAACAGCACTTAAAGCTTTTAAATCTTTGAGAGAGAGGAGAAAATCAAGCTGCTTCAGATCTGAAAACATCCACAGGTGTTTCTGTCCATCCTTCCACTGTGAGAAGATGACTCAGCGCTGTGGGTCTGAAAGGATGTGTAGCTGTCAAGAAGAACCTCACTGAGAAAAGGAGACGGACACATCAAACAAAGAAGCTGCTGGTGTTCTCAGAACAATGGGATGACCACCCCAGAGTCCTGTTTGTTTATTTAAGCTCAAGCTGTTCCGGTAAAGAGTGGACACTGAAAAAAATAGCTGTTGGGGCTTTTGTGCAAGTTACTGTTAAAGGTATGTTTTCTGCTACTTTCCTGATGCTGACAAAGTAATAATTTGCACTTTTAATAATTTGTACCATTCCAAATGGAAATTAAATTTATGAATGGGGTCTCTGACTTTCGCACAACACTATATAATAAAAACACAGCAGAGTAACTGAAGCCAAAGACTCTGTAAGAATCCAAATATGGCCAACACTCAGCTAAATTGTATGACACACACCAAATCTGTGACTAATCACCGGGTGGGTGTAAGAACACTGATGCAGCCATGTGATCTGCCCTATCAGACGGAAACATCAATTAAACAAACGTGCATGGTTCCCCTCTGTAAACACATACTGAACGCTCCTTACCATTTATTGCAGCTGCTGTGTCTTCAGTCCTGACTCCAGCCATGCAGTGCTGAGGAGCTGTGGACTGAGCCAGCACCCCCTCCAGCCTCTCCAGTGTAGCTTGGCCCTCCACTGTCAGCTGGGACATGCCCTCCTCAAAGGAGTAATATGTGGGCAGATCGATCTGGCCTTGCTCTATGGGCCAGTTGTAAGAAGTGTGTCAGCAGGATTGGACATGTTCATGTTATGTTTGTTCTCTTTGTTACTGAAAGATAAGCGTATCTAAACTCATCCCTCAAAGCCTTACCTGCCTCCTCCACATCATACTCGTCCCCGTCAAAATCAGAGTCAGAGTCATCAGGATCAGGATGAAGAGCTTGACATTCAGACATGGCTGTAAACATCGTCTCCACTGCAGCGCAGATAAAACCATGCACATTTCAGACCTTTCATTTACAGCATATTACAAACTTCGGTTTCTTAAAAAGTTGGTACGGTATGTGAAATGCAAATAAAAATCAGTGATTTGTAAATACATTTTAATATTTAATACTTAACTCTTTGCTTTTTGTAAATATCTGCTCATTCTGAAACTGACGCCTACAATGCATTCCACGAAAGGTGGGACAGGGGTAATTTTAGACTACGAACTTTGTGAAATGTTCAAAAACATCTTAGGAGAGGCAATCATGCTTGGATAAAAAAGGAGCATTCAGGAAAGGAAGAGTCCTTTATAAGCAAGGATGGGTTGAGACTCACTACTTTGCCATAAAACGCATCAGCAAATAGTCCAGCTGTTAAAGAACATGTTCCTCAACGAGCATTTCTCTAAATTTTAGGTATTTCACCACAGAGCATAATGTAAAAAGATTCAGAGAACCCACATAAATCTCTGCGCGTGAAGAGCAAGGCTGAAGACCACAACTGAATGCCCATGACTCCTCAGACAGCACTGCATTAAAAAATGGCATGCTTCTGTGAAGGATATTTCTACATAGGCTCAGGAATACTTTAACAAACCGTTGTCAATATACACTGCTCATTACTGCATCCAAAAATGCAAGACTTTACTATGCACGGTGGAAGTCATATAAACAATGTCCAGAAACACCGCCGACTTTTCTGGGCTACAGCTCACCTAAAATGGAAGGATGCATAGAGGACACATGAGTTGTGCTGTGACGAGTCAACATTTCAGATTGTTTATGGAAATAATGGACACCAAAAAAGGACCATCCAGACTGTTACCAGCGCAAAGTTCAAAAGCCAGTGTGTGGGGGGTGCAATAGTGTCAGTGTCATGGGTAACCACCACCACCATTATGGCTGCATAATCACAGAGTGCAGGTGCTAGACTGGCCTGCTTGTCTCCCATTGAAAAGGTTGTACACTACGAAGCCCAAAATACGACAACGAAGGCCCTCCACAGCTAAAGACTTGTATAAAGCAAGAATGACACAAAATTCCACTTTCAAAGCTGGATAAGTGTCTTCAGTCCCCAAATGATTAATATTAGCTGTTAAAAGGAAAGGTGATGTAACACAATGGTCTACTATCCAAACCTTTTTGGAACATCTGCAGGCATCAAGTTCAGAATAAGCATGTATTTACCCCAAAAAATTAATAAATAAATAAATAAAAAAGTTCACGAGGTAAAACATCAAACATTGTGTGTTGTACTGTTTTCAATTTTTCTACAGACGTTTTTAGAACTAAGCTTTGTAAAAAGTACTTGATGTGAAGTTGACAGCACACTCACAAGAGCCCTTATCGTTTGGAACAAACCGGATCTCCGTCACAAGGCCTATGGAATCGTCATCGTCGACGTCATCGTCATCATCATCATCACTACTACTGCTGTCGTCATCCTTGACCTTTTGCCCCTCATTCTTGGAATCTTCTTAAAACAAAACAGATCAAGTTCATAAACGTCTACCTTTCATTAACGTTCGACACACAATGAAGGATGGATACTCAATGGATTAGATTTCTAGAGCTCAAATGCCTGGACAGAGATTAAACACAGCCTTTGACTAAACCTCTCGGTAAATGAGACATTCTACTTCAAATCCTTTCATTCAATAACTAGGCATAATCCTAGTTATTAAAAACCAACTCATAACATTTTACTCACTGGAGGGAATAAAGGAAAAAGTTCTTTTGGGCTCTATATTTTCTCAGGAACACCAAAGCGCTCCAACTAAATGGAAAGGAAACGCTTAGATCCCCGTTGCCTTTGAGGTGGGTACGCCATGCCAAACGGTCTGCTGCCAAAGCACGGTCTACATAAGAAAGGCTAGGCTTTTCAAATGCCACTCCCCAAAGAGAGGCAAGACAAGCATCTGGGCACAAAACACTGTTTTCCCACGCGACAGCTGGCTTTGTCTATTAGAACACAGGAAAAGCTTCAATCTTCTACTAAATCTGTCAGATTAAAGAGTGAAGTGTGGGGAAGGAAAGCTGCCTTCAACAATACCGCACACCAAGCCTGGCTGTGTGTTTCTGAAAGGACGCCAACTTATTATCCTTTCATGCTCTCGTTTCAAAATTAAAGGGGAATTCCACTAATTTTTTAAAAGCTTTTGCATAATTTAGCCGCTGAGATCAAAGTCAGTGGGTGCGTTTAGATCTGAAATGGTTCACTGCAGAGAAACTTTGTCCGATTTCTTTACAGTGGTGCTGATATGAAAATAATATATATTTTATACCAAAACTTTATCTTAAAACTATCGGAAAACGATATTTTATGCATCAGGCAACACATTCATAACCATTTTATGTGAAAAACTGTCTGGGAGGAAGTAAATCTTTCAGACGTCTGGTTCCTATCAGCACTGCTGTGAACAATCCCAGCTTGGTAAGTTTCACTAGAACAAAGCACTGCACATCATACCACTCTGAAAGACTTTGCTGACATCTTAATGATTTAGTAATGCATAAAAATTTGAAAAATAGGTTGAGTTGCCCTTTAAACAGAGTGTGTGAATGGATAAAGTGGCCAAAAAGAGAAAACACTTTAATAAAGCAATTTTCCCTCTTTACACAGAAGTTATAGGCAAAGTCTTTTCCCCATGTAATAGATTTCCACACGCCACATAAACTGCACCTCGTACCTTTATGCTTAGAATTGACCATCACATACAGGTGTTCCTCAGGGTAGGTGCTCAGGTCGCGGGAGATGGCGTGGAGACTGATGGATGGATAATCCAAAGAAAATCCTACTCCGGACCCATCAACCCAAGACACGCGGCTGCCACAAAGGAGAGGAAGAAAATGTTGCAAAAATGGAAACCTGGCAACCCAGATAGAGCAACACAACTGTAGAGCTGGACGCTGCACAGTTTAATAGTGAATCCCGTTGATTTTTTTTTTTTATTCCATATAACTAAATGGCTGAGGCGTAGACAAAGTCATGAAATGGTTCATTGTAGAGAAACTTACAGACTCAGATGTCTTTACATTGGTCGTAATAGGAACCAGCTACAATACCTATAATACAAATAGAGTCATTTTATGTACATATTTAATATCTAAAACCACCAGTGAACCTGCAGGTGTCTTCTGGGAGGTACAGGTAATGTTGAAGATGGTAAAATAGGGGTAAATCTGAAAAAAAATGAGGTTTCTTTAGGGACTATTTTGCCTCCATGTACCCCTCCGCCATTAATGGGTTAAAATAAATGAATTAAAATACACTTCGAGCCAAACCTCTGTCACAAATCTATCATAAAACAGTGTGTCAGACATCAGGCAACATCTATCTAACCATTTCAAGTAAGAACTTTCTGTGAGGGAACGTTTAAAGGTGGACGTCTGGTTCCTATCACCACTACTGAGAAAGTAAGTTCCTCAATAACTGAGCGTTTCACTCCAAACCGCTCTGAATGACTTTGTTTACATCTTAACCGCTGATATATGTAAAAGTTTGTGGAAAAATTGGTGGAGTTTCCCTTAAAGCTACAGTGCTCAGGCTAGTGGAAAACTCATTTACCCACATTCAGCCCTGCTGTACTTACGACTCTGCCACACAAAGAGTTCCAGAACCGAGACCTTTCCCGTCCAGAACCGCTGTGATATCAGCCTGTTCGTGTCTCACTCCTTCGCTCGGAGGCGACACGTTGTGCAGCACCACCATCCTTCCAACTACGAGCATCAAATTCTCCCAAAAAATCTCAAAAAGCGCCGCCGGTTTGCCGTTTGGTGAACAGACAGCGGGCTTCTGTCCAAAAACACGAGCTGCGCCGAGCGGAAATGTAGTTTTAGGTGGTTTAAAGTTGGACCATTGTTGAAGTTCGTGAGGCAGACGCTGAGGATGAGGATGAGGATGAGCTCGTCTGGGCTTCTACGTCTACAGCGTGAGCTCCCGTGGCGTTTCTGGGGGCGGGGCAGCTCAATGGATCACTGAACCGGCCTATTTTGAGGACAGACTTCGGTCCTTTGTGATCGTTTATAGTTAGTAAATGTTTCCTCCCTGTTCTTAAAGGGGACTTTCCCTGATTTGAGATGTAAACAAAGTCATTCGTAATGGTTTACAGTGGTGGCGAATGGAACCAGACGTCTGAAGAGTTTAAAGGGGAACCCCACCAATTTTTCAAAAGTTCCACAAAATTAAGTGGTTAAGAAGTGAAGTCATTCAGAGTGGCTCCCTCACAGGTAGTTATTACCTGAAATGGTTAGATAGGTGCTGCCTGATGTCTGACACGTTGCTTTATGATAGCTTTGTGATAACGTTTTGGCTTAAAAATGCATTCTTAGCCATCTATTCGAATCCATTAATGGTGGAGTGATGCATGCAGGGCGTTGTGAGGCAAAAGTCCCCCTCCCAAAACATTATTTTCTCAGATATACCACTATTTTACCATTTTCATCAGGGTTACATATTAAAATTCAGAAGATTCACTGGTGGTTTTGGATAGTAAATAAAATGGCTATATTTGTGTTGTAGACATGGCCACCCCTGGTTCCTATCAGCACCACTGTAAAGAAATCTGTCTGTTTCTCTACAATAAACCATTTCACATCAAACCACTCTGAATGACTTTATTTACATTTACTACTAATTTACTTAAGAAATTTTGAAAAATTGGTGGAATTCCCCTTTAAAATGTATTATTAAATCCAGCCTGCAAGTCACCATTCATGTCTGCTTCCTAGTTTAAAATCGACGTGACAGACTGAAGCCCCGCCCACATCGTCTCTTATTGGCTGACTCATGAGCGCTTCAGAGTGCTCTCCGTCAAAAGTTCAACTTTTAAAAATTATTTAATTGAGATTTTATTAAGTTAGTTAAGAACTTAATTAAGAGAACAGCGTTCACAGCTATCAAATATAAAAGCTATCAAATATATATAAAAAACAGTATTGTCAGGGTGATTACACACACACACACACACACACACACTGATAAATGTTATAAATTTTGAATTTTGTAAGGTGCCGTTGAAGTCACAATACTTTTTATACAGCTTTAGTTCAATTATAAATAAGGGGAAACAAACTTTTATATTTCTAAATTTGCATTTATGAATATGCCATTTTGCTAGAAAAAATATAGGATTTATTACATAAAACTTTTATTATTACATAATTTTTTTTTCCATTTTAAAATCATGAACTTGTTTAACAGACAGCGGTTGTCATGCGTACCTGTCGGTTTAAGCACTGCCCTTGTTCAAATCAATTGCAAGTCCTGTGCTTTTCACAGATACAGGGTGCAAAAGTCCTTTTGAACACGGCCTGACTTAGGAACAGGAGTCCTATCAAAATAAGAGTCCCATGTAATTCCACTGTTCAATGAGTTTCCTTGATTTAATTGAATACTAAATACTATTTATTATTGTTGTTGTTGCTGTTGTTGTTGCTATTAACAGTAGTAGGAGTAGTTGTGGATTGTGGTGATAGAAGAATTACTAATAAACATTAACTATGATTCACTTACATGTTTATGTAGTTAAGTTTCATCCTTGGAAGAAATTATGGGACACTTTTTTTCTCTGCATTAATTCAATCAACCTACCTTGGAGAACACCACGTGGCTGGTGCCATGTGGTGTTCTCCAAGGTAGGTTGCATCCAACCTGCCCTTCCAACCTGCCCTGCCCTTCTCCAAGGTAGGTTGCATCCAACCTGCCCTGCCCTTACCTAAGACTAACGTATCTGATCCAGCCAATCAGCAGCTTCTGAAGAGGTTAATTAGCTGGAGTGTGTGTGGCAGGTTGTTGTTGGAGCCAGACTCTTTAGAAAGGTAGGTTGGTGACCAGTGCTCTGCGATCACTGCAAGCTGGTCCTCAGGGCCCCAGTCTATTATTTTGCACTGTATGTGGTGCAAGTCGGTTTGAAATAAACGAGCAGGTAAATCATGACACTCTTCTGTAGGTCCTGCAAGGTTTAGGATCTCCCACCATGCACTGCAATAATAATAATGATAATAATGCCTAATTATAACAATGATTTTATTCATAATCCACCTTTTTCAAAGGTTGCTTTACAACAGATAACAAACAAAACAAGCATACATACTGTGAGGTAGAGCACAGCAGTGCCGACGGGCCTATGATATCATTGTGCTAAATTGTTAATGCAGCCCTAAAAATAACAATAAGTCCAGACCTCAAACTGCACTATTCGTGGCCTACCAGCAGTCTCCGTTTGAAGAGAAAGAATACTGTTTGTTAGTATTTTCTTCTTGACCTGAGTGGCTGCAAGATCAAATAATCTCTTAGCAGTCTGGACACATGAGGTTCATGACCAGTCGCTTTGAAAACAGTCACAAATATAGGTGCAGTACCCTTTTATTATGACAAATGTACAAGATTGTATTTATATGAAAGAAATTACAATACAGTTAACAAAAAGACATTGGAAAGAAGAACAAAGACAGAGGACACCTCTAGAACCTAATGCCCAAACCAGACTCCATCTGCACACATCCGCTCAGGCCTCCCGACTACAGCCCGACCAATCAAAAACAGCTGGATTCATTGGCACCGACTTCCTTTAACATGAACCCAATCCGCAAGATTTGAGACCGCCTTAATTTCAGCTCACGCTGATTCATCTGAAGATGTATCTGATTCATCTGAATCATATTAAAATGTAAAGGGAAATGATGAATACAAGCTTTTGTGGGATTTCATTAGTATCAAAATGCTGTTCAGCAAGATCAGACACCGAGGTTATGACCTTGCTTAGGGAACGTCTGAAATGAATTGTGACGCTAATTCCTATTAAGAAAAAAAACAAAGGATTCTTTAAACACAAAAAGACAGACCTGATTAGGAGAGATGTGCATGCCAAGCTTAGACATTATTTTACAAGACATTTTACAAAGCTCTCACTCAGTGCTGTCACAACCACATCATTCTGCTGAGCCCAGCTGTTAAAGCTCAGGTAGCTCCACACGCAGTTCACTCTAAGAACAGGTTACATATGTACAAAGTTCTAGCAAGCCGCCAAACGTACTGCACCACCGGCGGAAAATCCTCACCAGCGGTATAGACCACAAATTCATGGATTATCAAAGTAACTCGACCTAAACAGGAATCCCACTGATTTTTGGCATAATTAGAGTCGTCTGATTTGAAGTGCTTCGTTCTACTGTTAGACATAAAGGTTCTTTGCAGGTACATTTTCCATTCATCAAGGTACAATGTAAATGCCCCCCTCAAAAGGTACAACAGTGGTTTTAAGGTCCAACTGTGTACCCTAAGTAAGTTTTTCCCCAGGTGAAAAGTACATATTTGTACCTTTTCATGACCTAATATCTTAAAACAGAACAAGCCTGGAGACGAGACGGGGTGTGTGGAGTCAATACAGCTTAAAAATACAATTTCAATGGATTATGTTCATTAACTAAAGGTACTGAGATGTACCCTTGTGGGAACCACCCCAGTGGCAGTTTAGTACCTTTTTTTCTGAGAGTGTAGAGTTCGAATCAAGTGGAGGTGATAGGAACTCAACGTCTAAAACACTTGACACCTCTAAAAACTCCCTTCCAATGTTATTACATGAAACGGTCATGAATGCATCGCCTGATGCATGAAAATGGTTTCAGACCATTTTAAGATCAGACTGTGGCCTAAAATGTATTTTTCAAAACAGTCATGGGAGGAAGGTACAAAAAAAAGTCCCCAAAAATGTTTATATCTGCAGATTTAACCACCTCCAACATTAATAATACATATAAAAACACATGACTGGTGGTTTTGGGCAATAAATAAAATGGCTTGGACATCTAGACCCCTGGTTCCCATCACCACCACTGTGAAATATGAGATGTTTCTCTACAACAAAACATTTCAGCAACCCACTCTGAACAACTTGGTTTACATATTAACCATTTATGTGGAAATTTTGAAAAACTGGTGGAATTCCCCTTCAAACTGAGCTACTATACCAACAAACTTTGGATTCAGTTCAAAGCATTAAAACTGAACCCAGCTTCGTGGCACACGTCCCAAGAAAACGCATCTAATCTCGACAAACATCAGACACAACAAACATGCCATGACTCACTTTGGACACTTCAGAATTGTACAAAAGTTGTGCGAGTGCCACAACCTACTACAAAAAGAAAGGGAAGGAAAAAAAAATGAAAGAAATATAAACAGTTGCAATCATAAAGGACTGCTAAATATATAATCGTTTGACCGATTTAAAAATGCTTCTAACTATGTTACAGCAAAAACTACAGATATAGTACACGCAAGGATAAATTCATTACTTTACGCTTCTCCCCTCCCAGGTTACCATCGACTCCCACAGTGCAGGCCTGCGTCTCAGCCCACCGGTGCTGTAAACGCTCCTCCCAAAGATAGCGTCCATTATTGACCTGTTTCTTGTGTCCTGCGCTGAAAACAAGGAAGGCTTTATTCGCAAGGTGGTCAACATAGTGTTGGACATGTTTAATACCACAGCAAGGGGAAATTCCTTCCTCCAAACAACTGGCAAAGGATCATAACAGTAGGACTGGTGGACATCCGTATATTCTGCTAACAAGAAAAATATTGCTCAGATATGAAAGGAAAATAGTCTGTGTATTAAAGAAAAACAAAACAGGTTATAATGTTAATATATAATGCAGGAAAAATAGAAAAATTGATAGCATCATGGGTCTTGTGAAGAAAACAAGTGAAAAATCCCTTTTATTAAATATTCATATTAAATTGAGATGAAATGACTTGTTTGAAATCCACAGATAATATATGTGACACAAAGTTTCCCCCCGACACAGGGACAAACCTCCACTATCCTTCGGATAAACTACAACAATAAAAATAAAAAGAAAAACACTAGTATGTGACGTGTTCATCCTAAACAAATAAATGCTGAACTAAGTTTTACACATATACATGATCACATACAATAACATCACAAATGACACCTTTTCAATTTGGCCTTTGATGCACTCACGAGCTGCCGCGGTAATAGTGTTTGATTTTGGACATCGGTTCGACTAAAATGCAGTCAAAACATGCAGTTTTGACATCTAGGGAGGGAAAAGGGTCAAAAGCAGGCTATAAAATAGCATGGTGCATTATAAAACGGGTTTAAAGGGCCCATATCCTACATTTCTCTTGCATTTTTTACCTTTTTTTTTGAGTGGTACCAAAAAAAGTCAAAATTCATCCTCACATGATCCCTTAGACTTAAAACAGGCGCCTTTAAGACTGATATATGCAAATAATGTAAAAACGTCTGTTCTGATTGGCTGCCCTCTGTTGTGCCTCATTAACAAAGCAGTGCGGGCTGAAACACTCCTTACAACTTCAGCTTGGGCGGGGCTGAGCTGCTGTAGGCTGAATAGGAGGATGTTATGCAAATGCTTCGTTTTTGTGACATCACAAAAACAACATTCATCAATTTCCTCATATGGATCATATAGACTGGGGAAAAAAATTGACAATGTTTACATACTGTATCAAGCTATTATTTAAAAAAAAAAGCATGGAAAAATGATAATTTTTGCACTTTCATTAAGGGAGTATTACTTAAAAGGTGGCTATTTCTACACAAGACCCATTTGGTAGCAACATCCGTGTACCTTCCCACATGTACTACTCTGGAATTCCAACCCGTGGCTCCTGTGAAGGAAGTATGTGAATGATTGGAGCTGCAATTAGTTAAAAAATTACAATTTCAAGAATAAATAGTTTAACAAAACCAAGCTTATGTTCTCATTAGAATACAGACGTGGTCTTCAACTAAATGCAACTAGCAGTTTCAAACCAATCAGTGTTAAAGACATTTAAGAGCATATCCCACACCAACTGGGGGAAGAACTGAAGGGGGGGGGTCTCATTTAGAGCATTACTACAAAACTGATTCACTGGGGGGAAAAAAAATAAAATAAAAAATAATAATAATAATAATAATAATAATAACAATAACAATAACAACAATAATAATACATGTTTAGACCAGCAGGTAACGATGTCCAGACCTTGGCTGGAATGCATTTCCGACCCTCTATGCCGTTGCCACCGTCCTCATTTTCTCCGATTTCCCAGCGAAAATAAAAGTGAACAATCACGTATCTTCTAATTCAACAAATAATGAAAATATTCCACAATGACTCATGAGGTTTCCGATTTGCTGAAAAGGGAATGGCTACATGATTAGTGTAAAAGAGAGGTGGGGAGGTTGTTTCTACGTTTTGCCAGAGGCTTGGTGTCATATATTTCACTCGCAAAGATTAAAAAATAAAAACATCTTGGGGAGTCGCTTAATGATGCCCCAACCGACTACACCCTCGTTCGGTGAATTTATTTACATCTTGTGTTCAGGTGCTGTTCTCCTGCTGGGGACCAACTCGTGCAAAGCTGGTTCCCACCAGCCTCTGCCAAGCTGATGACCTTCACACAGTCAAATGGACCATCTCAAGCTGAAGGGTAAACATCCTGCTCCATCCCCAGAATTATCTTCAGTTCTTCCTGCTGGCACACAGAACACTGAGAACCGTGTCGGCCCAAATGTCCAAACGATACTGTATGTAACATGGCAATGACCGAAAACAAAATACAATAAGCGTGAAAAAGAAGAAAAACGCAAAGGAGTGCTGGATGAGACAGACAACTTTGAAAAACCGTAAAAACAAAAAGGAAAACATACGTCGTGTCTTACAACTGTTCACTGTTGCAGACATAGTCTACAAGGTCTGTGACCCCCAAAAGGTCATCCTCGTCTTCGTCCTGTGGCGCCATCTCCTGGGGAACCAGGCCGTTGGCAGCCATGGCCCCGGGAAGCGGCGCACTGCTGTTTTTCAGGCTGGCGAGAGCGGGGTTGCCCACGCCCACAGCGGGCCGCGGGATCAACCCCTCCAGGCCTTTCATAGGGCTCTGTCCATTGGTGGGAGGAAGCTCCACCAAGCTGTAGTCAAGAGAGCTAACCCCCTTTTCCAGGACGTCCTCAGACTCCTTCTCCGTAATCTTCTTCTTCTTCTCCTCCTCCTCCTCCTCTTCATCCTCAGTGTCGTCGGAATCGATGCGGTTCACCCGCTTGCGTATGGGCCGGTCTTCCTCCGACTCGTCCGAATCGTCGTCGTCCTCAGACTCCCTCCTGCGCTTGAGGGACAGACGCTGGCGCCGTTTGCGGGACTCCTCTTCCGATGAGTCGGCCTTCCGCTTCTTACTTCTCCGGTCTTCCTCTTCAGAATCCGCAGACTGGAAAGTTGCTGCAGAACGACAACACAAAAAGTTAGTATTTTTTAATATAAACAGAAACTGAAACCAACCACAACCGAGAATGGTGCTCGTTTTCACGAACAAGACAAATACTGAGACCCAAAATGAAAAAAAAAGAAAATGACTTAAATGTAATATTTTCTTTTTTTGATTCATTTTAAATTGGTTTTTGGTAACATTTTCCAATTCAAAACAACCACATTCTTATTACCAGAAATTTTAAAATTTTAAGATAAAAGATTGTTTAATTCCTTTTTAGAACGTGTATATCGTCATCAGATTGTATTTTAAAGCTAATTATTACAATTTTATAATTATTCTCTCATTACCACAGCTGTGAGGTTTTTTACTTGCGCCACACTTTGTTCTTTTTGTTCTATTCCAAAGGAAAACATTAGGGACTCAGCAGAGAAAAGTAATGCAAATGCTTTTGTTTTTTCTAATTAGGGAAAAAAACAGAATGAAATAGTAATGAGAAACATGGGCACATTGTGGTAATTAGAGTTAAAAAAAAAATGCATGACAATGAACCATTTTGATGTTTATTTGTAAGTTGAGGTTTCGAAAGGCAAAAAGAAGGTGAATCTGACCATCGCTCTCGGAGCTGGACAAACGCCTGTGGCTCTTCTTCTTGTCCTTGTTGGTGCTTGCCTGGGAGCCTTCTGAGTCAGATGTTTCTCGGTAGTTGACCTGCTTTTTCCGGCTCCGGTGGGAGCGGCGTCTGCGCATGTCCAGATCACTGTCACTGAATTCACTGGACCCCTCGGTCGCTACACAAACACACAAAATATTACCACAAATAAAACTACAAGCAAACAGTTTATACTATATTAACAATGTAATTATGGCCATTTTATTATTATTTACCATCTCAATAACTGTAAAATTGTGGTAAAAATGAAAAAAAGTTTTCTTTGGGGACTATTTTGCCTGCATATACCCCTCCATTGTGCATATATTTAAATGTTTTTGGTAAAACCTTCTCAGAACTATAGTAAAACAATGTTTACATTGTACAATTTATTGCACCTTTCTGTATGTTAACCTTCTGTGAGGAGCTTTCAAAGGTGTTAAATTATATAGACGTCTGGTTCCTATCATCACCACTGTGAACAATTCTGACACACTAAGTTTCTCTTCAATGGAGAACGACATCAAATGACTAAAATACATCTTAATAAGCAACTATTTCACATTATTAATGCAAAGTTACTACTTGTTTGGATACATAAAGCATATGGCAAATCCGAAGGTACAAAAACGTTTCATATTGTCTTGTTCTTTTCAAAAAGGTCCAAAGGGGCCTTTTACCAATTTCTGACTCCTCCTCCTCTTCATCAGACTCGAGCTCTTCATCGTCGGAGTAACCTTTGGGCCTGTGTCGCCTGCGAGGCCGCGTGTTCCGCCGCCGCACAGCCGTCCGCCGGGACGAAAAGCGTCTGGCCGGGCCGCAGCCATCACTGCCGAAATCGCTGTCGTCTAAGGACTGGGCCTCGGCCTCACTCTCCGCCTCGTTATCGGATGCTACAAACTCCTCCTCCTCACTACTGCAAGGTAACATTCAGAAGAAAGATTTCACTTGTAAAACAAGCACTGTGAGTAGAGTAGTACACTAATGACCACTCATTCCGGTGAATAAGGCCCAATCCCATTTCTTCTTTTTACCCCTACCCCTTTTTTCGAGTGTCACCCTAACCCCTTGGAACGTAGTTACAAAGGGTAGTGGTTGAAATCTTGCCCTACGTAATGGGACTCTCAAATAAAATACATTGCTTCATTAACAGCTACTAGCGCTGCTCTGTAGGCGACCCGGCCCAACTTCAGTGATAGCAGAGGAGGGTAAAGTTCAGCTCCTCACTGCTGGGCTTTAGTTACATATATACGGTAACATATGCCTTGAAAGAGGGGGGCAATTATTTATTATCGCCCACCCCTAATTTTTCGGTGATACGAAGCTGAAGTCAGCTATTCTTGTTCAAATTTTCCGGTTCCACCTTAAATGTTGCAGCAGTTACATTCTGGCGCTTCAGGCGTCAACACTGCTAGACTACTTAAGGTGGAGCGGGAAAGTTAGCTAGCTAGCTACCGAGGCATTAGCATACTTCGTGATTTTTTTATGCTTGTTACAAAGAAAACGACCATAATACATTGAAACGAATTTTTAGCAGAGAAAATTCTCACATTTGTGGGTTTCTTTGGTCTCTTGCTCAGCCATCTTGCCGGTTTTTCTCTTTTTTCCCCATAACACTCCTTTTGGAGTCTCTGGAAAACCTCCGTTTAAAGGGCCATGTAGCCCTAACACTTCACCCTCCCCCTTTATCTCAACAAAAATTGGGACACCCTAACACTAGACGTACAAAACAGAGGGCTAAGGGCTAAGTGGTAGGGGCGAGGGATGAAATGGGATTGGGCCTAAGTCTATCACTGCCCACTGTACCTGTCACTTAGGCGGAACTCTTCCTCGCTCTCTTCTTCGTCCACAGTGCTGTCACTGTCTAGATCATTAAGGCGCCGCCGTTTTTTCCTCCGCTGACCTGCGCTGGGCCGCTGGGGCCGCCCATTCTCTTTTCCCTCTTCCTGTAAGATGGTGGATATGTCCTTCCCTCGGTGGCCTGTAATATTGGCCATGTCCTTTCCTCGTCCCGCTCCTACAGGCAGACGACCAAATTTTCACTCATCTTTTATCTACCACCACCCCCAATTTCACACTATTAACCTGTTAGCCCTAAAGTCAGCGCTATCCAATACAGTCGTATGCAAAAGTTTTGGCACCACTGGTCGAATGACATGTTTTGTTGATTTCCTAAGTAAAAATCAGTGAACACGTCCTCCACAGAGAACACACTTCGGCACATTTTCATGCACAATTACTGTTTATTTGTTGAACTTAACATGTCAGGGGAAAAAATAAAACAAAATGTGGTCCTTGCAAAAGTTATGACAGTTTATATTTTCTTTTCCAACATGTTAATCTCAGCAAATTCAACAAAACATGTAATCAACATGTAATTCAAACTTCTGCAAACGACTGTACAACAAAAACTAAACTTCATGTCAGAACAGGAAAATATCAAAACACTTTTACCTCCTCCTTCAGCTTCTTTGATATCCTCTTCAATTGCTTCATCGATAGCTTCATCAAACTCATCAAACCTAACAAACACAAATGGGCAAAAAAAAAAGGCATGAATTGATTTCCAGCACAAAAGAAGCAAAGAAAGCCGCAACCACACTAGAAATTTGTCGTTCACATCACTGAGCGAAAGAGACGTGACTGAGGCCGGGCATGACAGCACAAAAGCATAGTGTCGCAAAATGATCTGCAGCAAAAACATATAGATAACCAGCATGACTGAAGGTAGTGGGGTGCAGCTGCGGTTAGCCAAGGAGCTAACATCACACTTAGCAAGCTGGCTGATTATTCGCCCTGTAGTCTGCATCGTGTAATCGCTCATTGCGGCAAATTCTATTAAAACTGAATGGAATTTTGCTCATGAGTTTCTGCTTGTGAACTCTAGAGTAAGTGGGCCTTAAAGGGGAATTTCACCAATGTTTCTATATTTCTGCATAACTGCATCGTTAAAACATTCAGAGTGGTTTGATGTAAAACAGCTCACTATAAAGAAACTCTTTGGCTCTGTGTTCTTTACAGTGGTGCTGATAGGAACCAGGGGTCACAATGACTACAACACAAATAAAGCAATTTTATTTACTATCCAAAACCACCAGTGAACCTACACATGTCTTCTCAGCTGACTTCTGTTGGTGACTGTAAAATAAGTCATAAATCTGAAAAATAAGTTTTCTTTGGGAACTATTTTGGATCACAATGCCCTGCATGTGTCCCTCTGCCATTAATTATGTTAAAGTCTTCCCAACCTATCATAAAAATAATATCTCAGTGTTTTCATAACCATTCCATGTAACAACTTTCTGTGAGGGAGCTTTTAGAGCTATAAAACTCTTCAGACGTCTGGTTCCTATCACCACCACTGTAAACTGTAATTCTGCCTCTGCAAGTTTCTCTAGATCAGAGCATTTCACACCAAACCACTCTGAATGACTGTTTCTCAACCATTTAAATATGCAGAAATTTAGAAAAATCAGAAAAACTGGAATTCGCCTTTAACCAAACAACAGCTAAAGACATACCTGTAGCTTATATATTTCTTCGCTCTTGTTGATCTTCTGCCCCAGCTCTTGATTTTCTTGACTTCCTTCTTCTCTTTCGTCACCACCTCCACCTCCTCTTTTTCTTCTTCCACCTCAACCTTTTATTAAAAGTTGCTTTGATTATTTCAGGATATTTTTGTTAGTGTGATATCTATAAATTATGTCCAAACCTGCAGTGAAATATTCATGCTTACAGAAGGCGTGATTATATTTTCAACGCTGATCCCGACATAAACCAGACGCTCTTTCCTGAGGAACAAAAGAAAAATTACTATAAGTTAAAATCACTTCAGAAAACATCTCAGCAATGTAGATGCAAGAGATGTAAAGCAAATATGACTATATCACAACCACGTCTGATTTTTTTTCTCAAATTATTTTCATTTCAGTTGTTTTTTCCATAAGTAGATGCACGTTACCTTCGCTCAGCACGTTCCTTCTTTTTAAGTGCTGCATCTAGACTCTGTAGCTGCTCTTCCAGCTTGTCACAAAGCAGTTTCTGAAAGAAGACCATCATATTTAGTCACAACTCCCAAAGCACAGACATTTCATTTCAACAATGGGACAAATCTAATGTATTACATACATGCTGGCAAGGTGGGCAGAACCATTCGCCATCTGGGATGATCATAAGAGGAGGCCGGAGACAAGCCGTATGATAGCCACTGTCACACGAGTCACACAGTAGAATCTGACAGGGACAAATGGACAGTTAAGATTAGCTGCTTGACAGTATAAGAGTCTATGTGAAATTTCCAAAGCACAAATACATTCAACACATACCAGCTCAGGATGGTTGGGCAGGCCACAGTGTTTGCAGGGGTCATCGTTTGGAAGGTCTTCATCTGAACACGAGGTAGACGAATCAGAGCTGTTCCTCGCTCTATTGCAGTTCCTCCTCCTCTTCCTGGTTTTCTCCACCTTATAATCCTCATCACTGTCATCTTCCTCAGTCTCCTCTTCCTCACTTGAACTCTCATCGTCGTCATTCTCCGAGCCTTTCTTTTTACGCCGCGTTCGGGTGCTGGACCAACGTGTCCGCCTTCGGCGTCTCCCCTGTTTCAGATTGAAAATGACAAATTCCAGATTTAACAAGAACATCATCTTATTCTACAGTGTTCACCGAAACAGATACCGTATCAGTACCATCAGCAACACTGGCAGTTAAATACAGTATCAGTAATAGAGAATGACTAATATTTGCTGAACTCGAGCAGCGTCCGACACTTGACATAAGCACGAGGGTACGGCTCACGCACATATTAATCAATGTCTTATATCTGACTTCATCAAAACCACTTTCTTGTTTCTACACTTTCTGGCCATTTTATCAGCTCCCCTAACCATATAGGAGCACTTTGTAGTTCTATGGTTACAGACTGTAGTCCATCTGTTTCTCTGCACACCCTTTGTTACCCTGTTGTTTAATGATCGGGACCCCCACAGGACCACCACAGAGCAGGTTTTATTTAGGGGGGTGGATCATTCTCAGCACTGCAGTGACACTGACGTGGTGGTGGTGTGTTAGTGTGTGTTGCGCTAGTCTGAGTGGATCAGACACAGCAGAGCTGCTGGAGTTTTTAAACACCTCAGTGTTGCTGCTGGACTGAGAATAGTCCACCAACCAAAAATATCCAGCCAACAGCATCCTGTGGGCAGCGTCCTGTGGGCAGCGTCCTGTGACCACTGATGAAGGTCTAGAGGATGACCAACACAAACCATGCAGCAGCAGATGAGCTATCATCTCTGACATCTACAAGGTGGACTGACAAGGTAGGAGTGTCTAATAGAGTGGACAGAGTGCTTAAAACTCCAGCAGCACTTCTGTGTCTGATCCACTTGTACCAGCACAACACACACTAACACACCACCACCATGTCAGTGTTACTGCAGTGCTGAGAATGATCCACCACCCAAATAGTACCTGCTCTGTGGGGGTCTATGGGGCTCCTGACCGCTGAAGAACAGGGTAACAAAGTATGCAGAGAAACAGATGGACTACAGTCTGTAACTGTAGAACTACAGTAGTGCTCCTATATGGCAAGTGGAGCTGATAAAAGGGACAATGAATGTAGAAACAAGGAGGTGGTTTTAAGGAAGTGTCTGGTCAGTATGTAACAAAAAACAAAACGGTAACAATCAGTTGTGTGCAAAAGTTTGAACATCCTCAGTCAAATTACATGTTTCTCTGGCATTTTCTCAGGGAACACGCTTACTTATGGCTTTTTGCTGCAAATTTTAGTGCACAATTTCTACTTACTTGCAGAGTTAAACATATCGGAAAAAATAAAACAAAATGTAAAAATGCCATAACTTTTGCACAGGCCACATTTTTTTTTAATAAGTTACGTCGAACAACTTTTTTTGGAACTGTTTAGAAGTGTTCTTTTTAGAGGATGTGTTCTTATTTTTTACTTAGAAAATCAACATGTATATATTTCCCCACTGACACCTATGAAGTAGTTAGGTTAGAGTTAGTATCAATATCAGTACTTGGTATTAGCAGATGCTTTAGGATTAGGTATCAGTATCGGAAGGAAAGCAGTGGCATCTCTACCACTCTAGCAGTGTTTCCTCATACGTTATACTTTGGCGTCAAAGCATTTCATTTTTGCACTCTCATTTTCTGCAAACCTCATGGTCACTGGCCAAGCTTAAACCTTACAACCTTACTCAAACACAGAAACAAAAGAAATGGCAGTATATTAGAGAAGTGTATTCTGATCATTTCAGGTGTCACTGTAGTAAAAAGTTATCTGCGTCTTCGTTTTCAACATGTTTAACCCCTTTTGACAGTAATGATGGTGTTAGTTGCAGGTAGACTATATAATCACAAAACCAACCAGACCAAGTTTCTCCTGTCAGTCATAAACAATTTGATTCACTTCTTTTCCTCAGCCACAGCGCATAAAAATGGCTGTGGTTTTCACACTTCTAAACAAGACCTTCTGACCAGCTGCAGTGTGATCTACTGGAGTCAAGAGGCTCAGAAACACATCTAAATCATCAGCCTTGAGCTGAGCTATATAATAAATGGCAGTGCAGCAGACAGCAGGTCAAACCATCTGATTTGTTTACACACATTAGACACACTTGCTTTTGTTATATATATATATATATAATATATATATATATATATATATATATATATATATATATATACACACACAACATTATTATAACATAACATTATGACCACCTCCTTGTCCATTTTATCAGCTCCACTTACTATATAGGTGCAATTTGTAGTTCTACAATTACAGACTGTAGTCCATCTGTTTCTCTGCATACTTTGTTAGCCCCCTTTGTTCCGACAGCAGCATGTATGTGTATATGTGTGTGTGTGTGTGTATATATATATATATATATATATATATACACATACACACACACACACACATACACACACAAACATGTATACATACATGCTGCTGTCGGAACAAAACCTCATATCTCCATTTGTCATTTTTTAGTTTTTGAGATAACTGGAAAGTGCCTGTTACCCTTTACATTGTGTGTAAATTTCATGATGAATAAACCAACAGAAATGACTTATTTTTTTATATCTATAAAAAACACATCACTCGCTTAAACAACAGCAAAGTAGCTTTCCTCAAAGCAGTGGTTCTGAAACCAGTCCTCAGGGACCTTCAAATGGTCCACATTTTTGCTTCAAACTACCTTGCATTACACTGAGACTGATCAAAAACGTGGACCATCTTGGGGTCTTTGAGGACCAGCTTAACAACCACTGCTCTAAAGACGCAAGTTATTAATATTGGTGCCCAGCTGACATGCCTGAATAGTCTTATAAATGAAAAACTGTGGGTATTTGTAATCGATGAGTGCAATCATTGTAAATAAATAAACTGTGTTATTTATGCTTTGCAGTCGGTGTCTTCCTCCACGGACCACAACCACATCCCAATCCCCAGAGCTACATCTCAGCACCAAAGTATTTTAAATCTGAGGTAAACCTGAAGCATCAAGTCAGTGCTTTTTATTACTTTAAGACTTGAACATGGCAAAAATAATACAATTTGAACTGCACAACAGCACATACAGACTCCAATACGGCATGTACTCACATTTTAATGTTAATCATTTTAACTAATGTTTTATTTAAATCAACTGGCTGTTGAAATATGCTTTGAAGCTGCATGATCCGTCTTCTCAGTGCGTTTGAATGTCAGTTTAGCCGTCCTTTATATCTTCATCAGAACAGCTGACGGCTGGTTTACTTTATGGCTTACTGTTTAGCATGATCCAGTTTTATTGGCCTCCCATGATGATGCAGTTACCCGTTGCGTTAATGTGCGGTAAAATCCCTGATATGCGCACTGTGGTACATGTTGAATACATATATTTCTACTGTCTTTTTTGTAAAGGACTTACGAGAAATAAGCATTTAAGTCATGGATTCAGTACGATTTCAGATTATTGTATCTGATTTTATCACAGTAGCTGCTCCTTTGGTTTTGAATGCGCCGTTTCAAAACCAGAAGAAGCATGTTGTGGGCAGTAAAGCAGAACATTTCTACAACAGTTAGGGTTTTAACCAGTCATGACTTGCAAGAAAAAAGCAGCAGTGGCAGGAGCGCATTTTGTATATGGTTTTGGTGGCACGACTCTAGGCATAATAGTCACACACTTATCATACGCGCTGATGTTTAGGTAGACTATAGACATTTAGACCTTTTTGTTACCTTCTGAAAATGCTTCTTACTGCTGCAGGTTGTGGGACAGGCTATGCTTACGTTACCAGGCTGAAGTGGCACAAATCTGATTTTTTGCTCTAATGTGACTCAGATCTGATGTTTTCAGGGCTGTGTGGACATGCAAATCTGATCTTTTCAAATCCGACCTAAACCACTTTCATATGTGGTCCTAGATCGGATACGTATCCGATTTGTGGCCATGCGACCTTAATGTGACGCTCAGATCGGAATTCATGTGCTTTTTCTCCACTGCATGTGCACCATCATTCAGCGTTACCATGGCAGCAGCGCTGAACAGCAGTTAAAGCCTGTAAACGGTGGAAAAGCAACACCTCACCTTTTTCACCTTCGTCTCTAATAATTTAGCTGAGAGCTGAACAGAGTTAATTATCTTCTCAGCGAAGCTCGTTCTGCTCGTTAGTTTGTTTGCTGATGATGCACATGACTCACGTGATTCAGTCACGTGACATTACTGAGTAGGATGTGCGCATGTGGCTCATTTCAGAACGCTGGTTCGTTCACATTAATGACAGATTTGTGTCACTTACCTAAACAAGTGGGAACCATCATGGCAGAGAGATCAGATTTGAGCAAAAAATCGGATTTGAGCAATGAGGCTTGTAATGTAAACATAGCCATAACGTCCATTTGAGGCACCTCTGTGACAGTGGAGTAAACAGAGTGCAGAAACGAAACGTGAAACAAAAACAAAGGGTTGGAGCTGGATGGGGTTTATTTTCCTTCAAACCTGATCCTTTAAAAATTCCACCAAGTTTAAAACCTCTAGTAGTAAAAATCAGACATTTAGACATTTTAGGACCTTAAGATTTTCATATCTACTTTATAAGACTTTTTAAGGATCCACAGGAACCCTGTGTTAGAGACCGACTTATCATCTGATGTCATCTCATCAGACATCACAACACTTCTATAAACAGAGCAACAAAAACAGACGTACCTTTGGTTTCGTTTGAGCCTCTGGGTCGACCTTCCTCTCCCTCGGTTTCTTCTGTACAATATTTTCCTCCTCCTCTTTCTCTCCGTTTTCATCCTTGTCCTTCTCCGTCGAGGGTGTGCCCTGTTTCTTCTCCACTTTTCGGTCCTGGATCTCCACTATTTTGGCCGTGGGTCTGCAGATCCTCGGCGACCTCCTCAGGCACCTTCCCTCACCGGTTTCCGACTCAGAGTCTCCCTTGCCCTCTTCTCGCTGCAGCTCTGCCTTCCGCCTGTGAGCCGGGACCTTGATTTTCAGACGTAATCCTTCCTGCGGGACACTGCCATCCTCTTGATCTTCCTTATTCGCCTTCACCTCATTCTTCTCCTCTTCTTGATTCTGCTCCGTCTTTTTCGCTTTGGAAGCTTCTCTAGTGATTTTCGTCTCTTTAGAAGCTCCTCTCTGTCTGCCCTTTTCTTTCTTTTCCTTTACTAGACCACTGTCTGGTTTCGGTTCATCTGTAGAAGCTTTGCTTTCCTCTGTAGGCTTGACTCCATCAGCATCCTGCTTCTCAGAAGCCTCTGTTTGAGGTCCAGCATCACACTCCACTGAAGCGGCATCAGATGAAGGATCTTTTCCTGTCTTTTGTTCCGCTCCCTCCTCACTAGCTGGGGATACTTCATTAACCTTGGCGTCCTCTGAGGTAACTTCCATATCCTCAGTCTTATTTTCTTCTTCTTTATGGATCTCCATTTGGGATTCTTTAGGTGAGGCAGCCTCTTTCTGGTCATCTTGTGCTGCTGATTCTTTCCCAGTAGCTGTTGAACCACTTTCTTTGGAGGCTTTATCAGTTTCTGATGGGACAGTTATCCCATCAAGGTCTGATTCCAAAGGTTTACTGATTGTGGATTCATTTGTCTCAGCACTAACCATTGTCTTTTCAGAGGATTCAGATGTGGATTTTTCTTTCGGCGAAGGTGGTTTCTCCTTCTCTTTGGAAACGTCTGTATCTTCAGGGAATGCATTTTTCTCCTCTGTTAAACCACCAGATTTTTCCTTTTCCTTAACAGCCGGGAGTTCATTCTTTTCAGGAAGCTGCTGTTTCTCAGTCTGTTTAGGAGAGTCTGATCTAGACTCTTTGCCCTCCTCCACTGAAGCACAGTCTCCTCCAGTGCCGTCAACAGACTTATGGTCTGTTTTGGTTTCCTCACAGGCAGACGGCTCACTTCTCTCTTCGACGGCGAGCTTTTTCTCCGTCTCATTTCTGACAACAGATTTTTCATTCTCTTCATGAGTTGAGTCCGCCTGTTTTGTAGACGCCTGGGACTTCTCCAAAGAAGTCGATGCCTCAGTCTCCTTAGGAGCAGGTGATTTAACCACCTCTTCAGAAGCTTTTTCTTTCAACACTACAGCATTTGTTTCACTTGTGTGGTCCGACAGATCTGTCATTTCTTGGTCTTTAGTGTCTGTTTTTTCTTTTGAACATGATACGCTCTCACTTAACATGACTGGCTTCTTCTTTTCCAGTTCAGATTGGTCTGTGGTCTCCATGGCACTAGATTCCTCAGGTTGTATCTTGGCGGGAGGGTCTGAGGTCTCCGCTGCAACATCTATACTAGATGACTTATCAGTCTTTTCCATATCTGTTGACAACTGCACCTCTTCAGGCTCTGACGAATTTTCAGTTGACTTAGAAGTTGCTTCTTGCTTTGGTGATGTTTCTTGGCCCTGTTTCACGACTGTAGTTTCCTTGTGTGAACTAGATTCCTCAGGTTTGTCCACTTCCATGGATTCTTCTACACTACTTTGGGTCTCATCTGTCTTCTTAGACTCTTCTCCCTGTTGCTTTTCTTTGTCGTTGTCTTGTTCCTCAGTTTTTCTTGTGTCCGAAGGCTGATTTTTGACTTTGGTATCTGCTTCTTGATCTTCAGAAAGAGTCTGCAGAGTTTCTTTTTGCATCTCTTGGCTTTTCTGTGTTTTACTCTTCACAACTATAGCAGATGAGACATCCCCATTCAGCTCATCAGCATGTACCCCATTTTCCTCACTTGCTGCCTGCTTTTCTTTCACTGTAGTAACAGCTGGATTACGGACAATGATGCTGCTGCCACTGCTTCCACAATTGGTTTCAAAATCCTCACTCAGCTTCATCTCCCTTTTTTTCAAAGGGATTTTAGCTTGTTGGTCATTTTTAATTGCTCTCTGTACTTCATCTGAAGACTTCTTCTGCAACTCCTCTGTTTGCTCCGAAGACGGTGGACCACAGGTTTCTGGTGCTGAGTCAGATGAGCTTTTGCGTACTTCGCCTTCCCCTACGGGCTCCTCTTTGATTGCTTGGATAATGGTTCCATCAGCTCCCGGTGGCTTGTCAGGTTGACTGTTGACCTCTTCTTTCACATCTTTGTTATCTTTCAACGTGTCATTTCCCTCTGTTGTTTCTTGCTTCAAATTATCCACTTTGGACAATATGCCGTCCTTTTCAGTTTTGGTAGAGACAGAAGATGCATCTTTTGATTTATCTTCATCCAGATCGTTTTGTTTCTTGACGTCTCCTTAAAGACAACAGTATAATTATCTATACAAGCTGAAACTCCCCCATCTTTCTTAGGCAAATATAAAAATATATGCAGTCAGATCATGTTTAAGCAATTCAAACCAGTAGCATATCTCGAATTTCATTATAAGGGGGGCCTCATTACAGTTTGGGGAGCTGGCTAGCAAGCATTAAGGCCCAGAGACATAGCTATAATGACGATGACCACAAATTGGCCTTTATTTTAGCTAAACCATTAAAAAATTACACACCTATTGGCTTGCAAGAGGAAAGGCCGAGGCCCCCCAAGTCCCCCAACAGCTGCACTCTCCAAACTACAGCATGCAACATGATTCATAACAGACAGTACAGTAAGTCCTAGCTTTAGTATACAATACCATCATCATCTTTCTTCTTGTTCTCTTCATCCTCTGGGCTTGGGCTGTTACTAGATGACCCTTCCTCCTGATCTTTCTTGACTAACAGCGCAGGATCAATCTGAGTCTTCAGCAGTCCAAGGATCTGAGCCAAATCATCTCGATTTCTGCATAAACAAACAAGAGATTATAGTTTAAAATTCACATTATGGGCTCATTTCCACCCCTGTTATAGATTTAAGGAACCAAACAGAAATTTCCATTTTTTTACTCAGTTATGTTCAATGCACCAACACTAAGCATAGTTTTCCTGCATATTATTTTTCCAAAATTGCCTGAAATATTGAAAACTTTCAGAGAAAAAAAAGCTGTAAACATGAACATTATTTGTTCAGTGCAAAGTCACACTTACCTAACAATGCATTTCCAGGAGGAACCATCTAGATCATCCTGCTCCTCCACATACACTCTCACGTTGTGATCTTGGTCGAGCTGGAACCAATACATGAGGCCATCTTTGTCTCTGCCGATGGGCTGCAGGCGCATTTTATCCGGGTCTTCTTCATTGATGGCTGTCTTGAACTTGACATTGTCATCAAACTGGCATTCGCATAAATACTGGATGAATAAAAAGAAATATTGTTACAGCTTATCTACAGCTCATCTGTTTTTAGTACACTAAAATGCATGGAATGATAATACAGGCTGCAAAGCTGTAATGGATGATGTACAATGAAATATAGGATCCATCTGATTCTGTAGACCGTGAGTGCATTTACTTGCACTCAATAATCTGATCATAACCACATTTCTGGAGTTATCAGATTATTCAAATGATCATTCAAACAGCATACTCTGATTTCTTAGATCGGAGTAAGGTCTAGAAATCTGATTAAGAAATCTGATAAAAAAAAGAGCTGGAATTTAGTTCAGTAATCAGATATCTCAGTGCTGTAAACTCTTGCTCTGATTTCTTTCACATTTCTCAGTCTGCACATGTAGGAAAACAGATGGCGGTACCGGAAATAAGCAAGCGAGACGCAGCAAAACACTTTCGGAGCGACACTGAAACCAATTACATGCTGGACGAAACAAAGAATGAATATTTTCAGGTAAAGTGACTCGATGTTTAAAAAAGCCGCAGCATGAAGTTTGAGTTTTATGTTTTGTTTGCGACGCGTCTTTTTCTGTAAGTTTATAGGCCAGCTGCAAAGCAGAAATCTGATTACTGCCTGACTCATGTAAACCTGGAGATTTCCCTTTCCTTAGTGACAATATATGAAATTAGCATTACTGCAGCCGGATTAGTTGGCTAAATAAAGGCCTCACAAAGTGAAGTTTTCTACAATATTGCTCACTACAACAAAATATGAAGCTAGTGCATATTCATGAATATTATATTTTGGTTTTCTAAGTAAAAATTTAACGCATCCTCTACAGAGAAGAAGCTTCTTCACCGTATAAGAAAATTAATTAATTAAATAAAATATGGCCTGCGCAAAAAGATTTTTTTCTCCCAATATGTTGAACTCAGGGCACTCAAATTTTCAGAAACCTTCCATATTTAAGTGCGTTCCCTGTGGAGGGTGCATTAATCTAGTTTCACAATCAACAAAATATTACTTGAACGGGAGTGTTCAAACGTTTGCATACAAGTTCAGGTTAAGGTTAGGCTATGTGACGTACGCTATCGTGTGACACCAGAGTTTCCAGCACCACAAGATTCAAGCCATTCGTGCCACTCAGCTTGGATGAGATCTTAACCGGAAAGCTTATGTTTGCTTCATAGCATTCAGATTTTTATGCAGTACACACTCATTTTTTGGCCGAAGTAAAATTCCCATTTTATTTTCAAATGTAAAGATGCACTGAATACAGATCCCACGTCCTGCGCAGATCCAAACGTTAATTGTATTGTGTATTGTGTCTCCTCATCTCTGTCACTGGGCAAGTTGGGGAAAAAGTTAATGTTGAACCCTGCTGGTTATCGGATCGGTGACATTGCTGTCTTCAAGTTTTCACATCTTACATTTTTGCTATATTGCCCACCCTTAATATACAGTGCAGACAAACAGGTATTGTTGGGGTAAGTTACTGCCATCCTACCATCCTGGCACTCTGCAATAACTGAGCTTCAATTCACCTTGAGAATTCCTGTCTTGCACTCCACCGTCATCTCCCGATAGCCCTTCTTCTCCAGCTCCCATGCCCATGTGGTGTTGAACTCCTGACATATCTGTTAATAACACAAAGAAAAAGTGATCACTATGGATACTATAATCCGTTTCACGTCATGAAGTCTAACCTCTGTTGTGCATACAAGAAATAAAACTGAATGGGATAAAGCGACTTTCAAATAAGCAGATTACCAATGCAACATCATTGATTTTGAATCTAGTTTCCAGTCCTGGATTTCATATTACACTAGGTGGCCAATCAGTTACATTAACAGTTCGCTTATCTACCAGTGGTTACAAAAATACAGGATGGAAACCGCATTAAAGGTCCAGATCTGAAGGACTCTTATCTAAACATTTATTCAGAAGAATATAAAAATATCAAACTATCATTATAAGACAGCTTACCTTTACAAGATACTTCTCCCATCTCTCTGCAGAAACAGACTTGCCTATTTTCCTCAATAACTTCACATGGAGATCTACCAGCAGCTTAGGAACTGCAATGGAAAAGGGATGCAAGAATATACAGGATGAATAATGATAAACAGTCCTCAGTAATGCTATTTTAAACATGTAACAACTGGGAAAAGACAGTAGAGGCTTTACGATACAGACATTTCGACCTTAAGTATTGGCTGATACTGATACCGGCCTGACATTTCTTCTCTTAGACCTACTGAGCTTTAAATGAGCAGTTTTTAAACTGAAGCATGAAGTGGAACTACATTTTTTTCCTTTTTACAAATTCAATCGTTGAGATGTAAACAAAATTATTCAAAGTGGTTTGATGTGAAAAGATTTACTGTAGAGAAACATACCATCTCAAATTTCTTTACAGTGGCACTGTACCAGAGGTAAACAGAGCTTTTTTATTTACAATACAAAAACAACCACCGAACCTACGTGTTTCTTCTGAGTTTTTCTGTATAATGTCGACAATAGTAAATCCTGAACAGTAAATCGTAAACTAACGTCTCAGACAACAGGCAGTGTATTTGTAACCATTTCATGTAATAACTTTCTGTGATGGAGCTTTTAGAGCCATTAACCTCTTCAGACGTCTGGTTCCCTTCACCCCCACTGTGAACAATTCTGACTCAGTAAGACTCTCTACAACCTAGCATATCACATCAAAACACTCTGAATGACTTTGTTTATGTCTTAACCATCCAATTATGCAGAAATCTTGAAAAATCAGTCGAATTCCCCTTTAAGTACTCTTTAAGGTACGCATCTAAAAGTAGACCATCATGCTCAAACTACTCAAACACTACCAGCCCACAGGAACGAACAGAAAGCATGACATCACACACTGCGAATGTGTGCTATTCCAGGCTAGATCTGTTACAGGATTGGATCTGATTCATTCTCTTTCCCTCCAAATATCCAGCATTTTCTGCTGATGATAGACAGATCAGCTCATTAGCTCTGGCTGGGCGATTAAGCGAGTTTTGTTTTCAATCACGACTTTGGCTCTCAACGATTATGAGAATAAGATAATTGAGAGAAAACGATTAATATGCTTCATTCTGGTTTGCAAGGACGCACTAGTTTTGTCTTGTGTTATGTATTCAGCACACCCCTTTCCTTTTTAGTATCGAACGACATAATTCATAGCACTGTAGTGAAAAAGTATTGAATTTCAATACTCAGCCAGGCCAGCCTTTAACTTCCTTAGTCTGAGTAACTGACTGGAATATGCTGAACATAGTTGAACAAAAACGTTGACTATTTTAATTAATATATTTAACAGTATATTACTACTCCTACTAATAATAACAATAATAATAATAATAATAATAATAATATTGTTTTCATTAGGTTGTGGAAGTGCACTACAGCATAGTTGATCTTTATTTAATATTTTTATATATTTAAATGCATACATGTTCATATATCATTATTTTTTACATTTACAAATTTTTTCCCTTGTTTTTCAGATGAATTATTTTTAACAGTGGATTTCCTTGAACTTTAAGACATTTTTTTTAAGTTCTACAAATGCCTGACGTTTCCAAAGCCAACGAGTAACCACGTTAAATAACCGTGATCTCATTTCTGACCAAAATAATCGCGATTATGATTTCTGCCATAACCGAGCAGCCCTAAGCCAACTAGTTCAGTGTTTATAACACGAGGGAACATGAAGTTGCTCAGCTAAGCGGCTCTTTGGCGGAGACATAGGAAGCCTCTGCAAGCCCTGCGAGTGGAAAAGACTTCTCCTGATATAATTTAACCAAACCGCAGTGATTAAAACGTCAGAAAAGACACAATTAACGACATTTTCTGACAGGGCTCACAGCACTAGCCGCTTAGCCGCGGAGCTACAAAAGCGCTCCAGCAGGAAAGTTTACACGCACTGCGCATGCGCGGCGCCGTTAGCGACCCACTCCACTGCCAAATTATTATTCAACTGAAAATAAGCTGTGCGGGGTTTATTTTTTGGGGGGGACGTGAAGCTCCGTTTTTGCCACAAACGACGACGTTCCCTGGCTTAAAGCGACGGCCAGCCTCCCGTACGTCTCAGACGAGTCTAGCAGAAGCCTGGCTTTTTTTCTTTTTCTGGCGAAGAGCGATTTTAAGTAGCTAGTTAGTTAACCTAGCTACGAGGCTGAACTCGGCTTCTCGTTCGGATTTTCCCGTTCCACCTTAAACGGTGCAGCAGCTGCATTCACGCGCCTGAGGCTCCAGACCGTAACTGCTGCACCATTTAAGGTGGAACGGGAGAATTCGAACGAGAAGCTGACTTCCAACTCAGAAAGCCAGCCACGATAATAAACCCTCGCCGTCACACAAAGCACGACCCGTGTGCAAACAGACGACGTCTGGAAGCAAAAAGGAAAGTTAGCAAGCGTCGAAAACTACAGGTTTTAGCGGTTAAAATGCCTCAGAAAGGCAGCAGAGGAGCGTTCGTGTCGAGCCGAGGCGTCCCGAAGCACACAATAACACAACAGCACCAGCACTCAGAAAGGCGATGGAGGTGTAGGGAGCTTTCCCTCCCACATCGCAGCTCTTCTGCCGCGAAAAACTCGAACCTGTGGCCGTTTCCTCCAGATATCGCTCCAGCTGGGGAAACGTAAGCTCCGGTAGATCCAGCAGGGCCCCGTAGCGCTCTAAAAAGGAGCAGATGACGGCGAAGCTGGGGCACAACGCGGGGGAAGAAGCCGCCGCTGCCGCCGAGGCAGCCATTTCTACGATGGACGGGTGGAGGACCAATGACTCCCCACAATCCACAGCGCCGAAATGAGCCTAGTGGCCCAGAGGTCTTTGCGGCGCTAATCAGTAATGTAAACAAACGGCGAGCCGGCGAGCCGCGTTTACATTCATGTTTATTTCCGAAAAAAGACCTTTTAGCTGGTTATTTTTCACACCTTCACACCCTCAGCTCTTTATCATCCTCCTGCTTATGTAAATGGTTGGATTAAAACTCGGAAGAGAGAACAGATTTGGGTTTTTTGGTATTTCTTTACTCAAGTAGTGGATTCACTGATTGAAGCAGCTGTAAATACTGTACACACTTAAAAAACATGGTTCTTTAGTAAAGACAGTGGTTCTGTATAGAACCATGAACACTCAAAGAACCATTTGGGTGCTTAAATGGTTCCCTGCATGGTAAAAGTGTTCTTCAGATTGATGGAGAATGTGTTGTATATGTAACTATATTACATTTATTCATTATTTATGTAAACATAAACAGTCGTGAATAAGGAATGAAAACGAGCTGGAGATCAACCTTTACATTTATATTACTTTCCAAAAGAAGCTGTTTTAGCTGATAATTTTTCACACCTTCACACCCACACCTCTTTATCATCCTCCTGCTTATGTAAATGGTTGGATTATAACTCGAAGAGTGAACAGATTTGTTTTTTTTTGTTTTTTTTTGCAATTTTTTACTGAAGCAATGGATTCACTGATTGAAGCAGGTGTAGATGTAAACACTTAAAAAAGATGGTTATCTATGGGTTTTTTTTAGTAAAGACAATGGTTCTGTATATAGAACCATGAACACTCAAAGAACCTTTTGCATGCTTAAATGGTTCCTTGCATGGTAGAAGCATTCTTCAGATTGATGGAGAATGTGTTGTAAATGGTTCTATATAGCACCAAAAGGGGTTCAGCTATTGTTACAGTGTCAAGCTGGTAACAATAGAAAACGCTTTTTAGGGCTGTATGGAACCGTATACAACACATTCTCCATCAATCTAAAGAACGATTTCACTTTGAAAAGAACCATTTAAGCATGCAAATGGTTTTTTGAGTGTTCATAGTTCTATATAGAACAATTGTCTTTACTGAAGAACCCTTAAAGAACACTCTTTTTTAAGACCGTACATCTTAAGCTGCTTCAGTTTGGGTAAAAAAATACCAGTAAAAAATCCAAATCTGTTCACTCTTTAACTTTTAATTCAACCTTTACATCAGTGATAGTAAATCAGTTTGCCAACAAATGTGCTCTAATCCTTCTTGGCTTGGAATAGAATTATGTTTATCTATTGTTAATGTAAAGATTTCCGCTCATTGTCTGCTGGGATAGGCTCCAGCACCTCCCGCGACCCAGGAGGATAAGCGGTTTAGAAAATCATGAATAAGGAATATAGTGGAAACAGGTTCACAAAAGGAAATAAGTGGAATATTTACCTTTACATTTATATTTCTTAAAAACTTGAAAATTTATATTACATAATTTTGCCACCCAATTGGCACTTTCACACCAATAGTTCTTCCGTCTCCTCTCAGGGATGGAAATTGTTGAATTACATTAATTCATTATTTATGTAAACATAAACAATTTTGAATAAGGAATGAAAACAAGCTGGAGATCAATGTTAACATTTATATTTCTTTGCAAAAGAAGAGCTTTAGTTGATTGTTTTGCCCACCTTTACACCACAGCTCTTTATAGCCCTTCCTCTTTCACATCAGTAGTTCTTCCTAATCCTCCTTGGCATGGAAATTGGTGAATTACATGTACTTATATATCATGAATAAATATTTGAGTGCACGTTCCTTCCTAACCCTCTTGTTCATTGAAATTGTTGAGTTAAATTTGTGTATTACTAATGAAAAGATCGACAGTAATGAATAAGGAATAAAAAGGATTGGAGATTAACTTTACAGTCATATTTCTGTCAAACGAAATATTGGTTATTTTACATTCTTTCACACTCGTGGCTCTTTATAACCTTCACATTGATGGAAGTAGTTGAATCAAACACACCTATTCTCCCAGGCAGGCTATAATGTGGGAGAATCTTGTGGAAACAAGTTCACAGTGCAAACAAGTTGAATATTGAACATTACATGAACATTTAAAGAAAAACAATTTTTGTATATAGATTTCGCATCAATCAGCACTCCTAGATGCAAATGAAGTTTATTTAGTCACATTTAGGGATGGACCAGTTTGTAAATTCAGGGCTGATTTGCTATTTCTGGCTGACAATTGTATTAAGTGTCGATACATAAACATTTATGTAGAAATCAAACTGGATTAGCCCAACAGAGAAATGTAATATTTATTTCTGAAGGTTACAAATGCAGTAAAATGAATGAAATGCAGATATTCTAGCATAGTAACCGAGCGCCGTCTAAACATTCTGCTCTTCCAGAGAGCAATGAATACATCACGAGATATCACTTTGATATATTAGTCAAATCTAATCATCTGTCTGATGGCGATATTTTTTTGAGGATTTTTTTTTTTTACATATGATTTGGTCAACTAGTGTGTACATTCACAGCAGTACTACACACTTCCTGATCCTCGTAGGCATGGAAACAGCTGAATCATGTTTACTCATAGCTAATGTAAACAAACGATTGTGAGTTTGGAATTAACATCAGCTAGAGATCATCTGGGCACTAATATAGAAATGATTAGTGTTTTTTATACTTTCATGTCCATAGCTTGAAAGTCCCCCTAGACATGATTACTTATTTATTTATTTATTTAGTTAGTTAGTTAGATTGGCTCATTAGGTTTAAAATGAACATGTGCTGCACTAAGTGCACCTATAGGCCTACAGAATATTATAATATCTGAACTGAAATGAATAGACTGTTCTTTAAAACAGGTCACTGTAGACGTATGAACATTTATTGATCCATTTGAGCTGCAGGACCTCCCACAATTCACAGTCTCAGTGAGGTAGGGATGAGCCGATCCATACCAGTATATCCTATCCTAAAGTTTACTTATGAGAATTGATCCTCATACAAACATCTAAACACCAAGTTTCTTTTTTTTTTAGTATTCATTTAAATCAGCATTTTCTAAAATATTGAATTTGTTTTGATGCCTGAAATGGATAACAACATAAAAGTCATTCAAAGTCATAAGAATTCACACATTTCACTGCAGAAATCACAAAGATTTCCTCTTTTTATATTAAGAAGAATCAATATCGGTATTAGGATTATTATTACTTGATATTGGATTGAAAAGGAAATCAGTGGTATCGCCCAGTCTTACAGTGAACCTAGCGGCCCAGAGGTCGACGCTGATGACTGGTGTGAAAATATGACCACTGGTAAAGAATAAAATTGAGCTGTAGATCACCTCAACATTCATTTTTTGGAAATGAGCCTTTAAAAGACTAGTGCATACTTTCACACCCATAGCTCTTAATAATCCTCCTTTTAATCCTCAATTGAACGTCTGTCACACAGGCGACAAGTTCACAACCTTTTTTTCAAAATTGACCATAAGTTGAGCTACTGATGGAGAACAGCCTGACCACATATAATGAGTAGGCAGATATGTGATACTATTTGAAAGCAGCCTATCTGCAATAAATAGGCAAATGCAGGCCTCCATACAGAAAAAAACAGAAGTGAGTCATGCTTTTAGATTAGGCCTAGAAGTAGCGATCCTGCCATTATTACTAAGTGCAGATAGTTCATATAAAACATTTGCATATTTTATTCCTGTGTGCTCATGCTTTAGATTACAAGGTAAAAGCAGAGTTGTTTTACAGCCCTATAATTCACCCAGCTCAGACCTGTGCAGTGCAGGTGGACTGGGAAACACTCCACCAAAGAACAACATTCTACATCCCATGTGTCCAGCAGGTGGCAGTATCAATTAGGCCAGTGATTGCCTGCCCACACATGATGCAGACAGCAATATATTACCAACAGCGCTGTAGGCAGCACTACAGCTACTATCAGTCAGAAAAGGTTGATGCTTATGTACCAGCCAACACATTTCTACAGTGGTGGAAGTTACTGTACTTCATTACTGTAGTTTAGTGTTATTCTGGAAGATCTACACTTTATTCAAATGTTATTGAAATTAAATACCTTTGTGTTTCCAAAAGAAAAAAACATACAGGATTTTTAAAATTTAGACCTTTAAAGTATTCAGATTAAAGATAACAATCTGTAATAATTATTAATAATTATTGTTAATATTAATTACGGATTATTTTTGTTTTTCCTATCAGAATTCCAACCTATTTATTTATTTATTTATTTATTAAAAGAAAACATCTGAACATAATCAGACCATATTGAACATATTGTCTGTTAATACACTTACTTATTGCTTTTATACACACTTGTGTGTAAAAGTTTAAGCACCTCCGGTCAAATGACATGATTTGTTGATTTTCTATGTGAAAATACAGGAAACCAAAGCCAATATGGCATTTGTTCTGTTAATTTTAATACACAGTTTCTATTCATTTAACATTTTAGAAAAAATGTACTGGGTATGTACCAACTTCTGCACAGGCCACAGTTTATGATTTTTTTTAGTTTCCAATATTCTAAATTCAGCAAATAAACAGTAGTTGTGCATTACAATGTGCAGCAGTGTGTTCACTTTTATTCACTTAGAAAAGCAACAAAGCATAATTTGACCATGAGTGCCCAAACTTTTGCATGCGTCTTTTGCATACATTGCATAAGTATTTTTAAATGTATCTACTTTTTTCTTTCACTCATGTTTTTGACTCCATATGTTCACCTTTAATTGAGTAAGAGTTTGACACAGTAGCCATACTTTCACTTAAGCACTGTCTCTATTGACCTTTACCACCTCTCATTTTATACGTTATACATCTTAAATTTCTCTTGTATTTTTTTCCTTAAGGTCCACTTTCCGTAGCATTTTTGTAATTTTTTGTAACAAAATCTGTCATAATTCAATGTAAACAACCCTTTCCCAACCTCTCTTTATCCCTTAGAATTACTTTCTG